TATATATATATATATATATATAAAGATATTTGATAGGAGATATTTAGTGAAGTTTCTAATTTATATTTTTCCCTTTTAGTTCTTCTCAAGAAAGGACACCATCACAGGTAGAAGAGTTCTCTGAAGGGGATACAGATGATGATGAATCTCTTGACTCTGATGATCTCAGTTCCTAATAAAGTAAGTGAAATTGGTGGAATTTCTTGTTGTTGTTGTACGTATTTTGTGGTGTCAGGAATCACCTTCACTCCATGGAGACAAGTTTTGTCATGATTATATTTATGCTGTGAGGTCATTTAGTAGTAGGAGAAAGAACAAGTTCTCCTTTGTTTATATTAAGACAATCACCAAAATTTTATTTCAACAGAAAAGTTCCTGCATCTCACTTGCAAGAGAAGTGAAAAGGTATACTGTCCAATATACTTAGCAGTATAGCCTCTCCTATGTTCATTCCAATTACAGCTGTACACAGCTTTTAGAAATGAGGCTGAATGATTAAATGATGATAGAAGAACCAGTATATCTGATGTGAGAGAAATGTCATTGCCAAAATTAGATTAAGTTTTGACTTTGGCTTTAAATATTTTGTTATTTTTTTCTTGTGTAATGACATTCACAAATGACCACCATAGTTGAGTGGATTTCACACCTATTAACCAACCCATCACACATGTTAAAAATATTTAATATTATGTTTTGCTTCCTCTTATGTAATAAAATCGAGGTATGGTAGCCATCAGCACAACAGTGAAGAAAATTAAATTCTAATAAGATTAATTGAGACCAGTAAAAATGTCAATGGTTTAATCAGTTTTATTGTTTCATTGCACCACCATGTGGTTCGATTGCATAGGCCATTATTAGGTAGTTTGTAAATAAATAAATAGATAAATAAATAAAATAAATTTCATTGTTATTGAATTGAAAAATGAAATGGATCTATTTTCACAATGAAAAATGTCATGACAAATTCTTGTATCAAGTGATGAAATATAAACTGTATGAAGTATTATGGTTTATAAAACATACATTAATTACCACCCAGCACTTCAACCAGCTGCATCCCAGACAGATCACAGGAAACAGTAATTGACTTCATTCCACATAGTACTCCACACCTAGAAGAAACCCTGTTCCAAATGCAACCATGATACAACTTACACACTACTACACATCCAGGATACATTCCTTCCACAAGACACTATGCCAACAACTACATACTTGCATACTATGAGAGAGAGTCAGTAAAGAGGTCACAAATGGATATAAAATGTAAAACGTGATATTTGAACTGAGAAAAAACGTATATTTATCAACATATCTTCCACCAACATTGATATACTTGTCCCATTGTTTTACCGGTGCATCAAAATCTGCAGTATGGAAGTCTTTTGACTGGTGTCTCAGCCACTTTCACACCTTCATTTCAACCTCTGCATCATCAGCAAAATATCTGTCACCAAGGTGGAATTGCTTTACATGACAAACACATCCCACCATAAACAGGAAACATTTCTTTATGAATATGCTTTGCACTGAGTCATTTTGCCCACAAAATATCCCCAACAAAATGCTGCTGTTTGGTAGTACACCCCTCATGCACAGTAGCCATTTTGACTACTGAAACCAGCCTCTGAACATGTGCATGCGTGTCTCTATCTAGACTGTCATGAAGCTGGACTTTGCTGCTACCTAATCATACACACAGAAAACATATTATATCTATTACAGCTGTTTTACTTCCATTGATGATTTATATACTGACTCTCCCTTGTATGTTATAACTGTACATTAATCCTCCTGATTAATTATATGAATTTAATAATTAGGAATAGCCAGATTCAGGTAGTTGCCTGACAAATGGAATCCAGCCTCTGTGTGCCAGTCCCAAGGGAGAGAACAGTAGACCCGGATGTAACATTTCTTAAGAGAAAGGAATATGCATCTCGAGGAAGTAGGGCGAGGGTGGCCTGTGCCGCTGAGCAGCTGATGCGTTGCAGTTACACGAGGAAGTTGGCTCCAACGGCATCTGAGTGGCAAACCCCACTTCTTGGAATTTGTATTATAAGTGAATGCAAATTACTGAATAAACTGCATATGATTTAAGTCAGTTGAGGGGTTTCTGTAACACCACTATGTTAACTGCACCCAATCCCAAGTTAGTCCCTAATTATGATCTCAGACTAGTCCATCTGGGAAGCCCCACATCGATTTTTGAACCAGCCTATCACCCATTCACAACTCTAGGAAATGTTATTTCCATCTCTTTGACAAGCAGCTCGGCAAATTGACAAATAAAGAACATGGCAGCAGAGGGCTTCAGTACCAACTGAACCATCAGAACTGATGGAGCACCATTAACCAGCAAGGAGTAGCAGCAGTGTCACAACTACAGTATGCAATTTTTTTCACCACTGTAGCACAATACGCTCTGTATACCCACACATAACCTGTTGTACATATGCTACTTCAGCGAATTTTCAGAAGCAACTAGATTTATGTACAATATGGAATGTTAAAATATCAATAGGTACTCCATTACTCAGATTCTGGATTGTACATATACATCCTTCCTTTCCACACTTAACAAGCCCCATATTATAGTTATAAAAAGTAAGTAAATCTATCCCTGCACCAGGCTGTGAAGGCCCGTAGGGTTGTGAGACGTTGAGGGTCCCAAATTATTTAGACAATAGGCTCAAATATGGCGGTAAGTTTGTCAGCCTTATGCACCGGCCACGCTTTTTTCCCCAGGAAATTTATTTAATTAATTCCTGGTACTCATTTCTGTTAGAGGCTGAGTGAACCCCAGGGCCATAGTGCAGCTGGAAGGATTAGGTCAATTGAAAAAAAATCCAATGACCTCATCGGGACTTGAACCTGCAACCATCTGGCTTGTAGCACAGTCCTTGATTCTATTCTTTATTTAGTTTTTGAACAACTTAAGAAAAACTACAGTCCTTTGTATATTTTATGTTTTGCAAGTTAATGCAAGAATTTATTACATTTTTCATTGTAAAACTGGATCCATTTCATGTTACAACTCAATACTAATGTACTTTTATTTATCTGTTTACAAACTGCCTGATGATGGTCCACATGACCAAAACATGTAGTATTTGAATGAGAATAAAATTGATTTAACCACTGATATTTTTATTGAAATTGATTTTATTAAAATTTGATTTATTTCCTTATGTTGACTGCTCCTATACCTCAATAGGCAACAAAATTATAATTTGTTTCTTTTTTGTTATGAGATCAGACGTTCTGTAACTTTAAATTACATCTTTATTACGACTTGCAACATACATGATACACATTCTACAGACATATTATTGAGAGACTTAAAACAGATATTGAAATATTTGATTTGTGGTCTGAGATACATCTGACCCTGCCCAACAAAATGTTTTCTGACAGGTTCTTCATAAATTTAACCAGATTTCAAACATTTCAATAACATTGAAGTTACTCAGTTTTATAGTTTTATGTATAAATGTATAATAGCATATGTAGACCTACATACTAGTTCAAGAGACAGGTAAAGTATGTTCATGATATTTATAGTAAAAGATGTGCAAGCTTTAACATAAATAAAAATTACACACGTTTTTAATTGTAAAAGGTAAGTGAGTTTGACAGGAGATTATGTTCTCATGTCTTGTAAAAGATTGGTGTAGTAAAATATGAAGGGCCTCTTTGTATTCAGTTAAATAACTTAAAGAATTATATTTCTGGGAACAAACATTTCTATACCATTTACCAGAGATAACATCAGTTATTTCGCATAAAATATGCTTTGTTCGAATTATTATGCTTCACTGCCCATAATTTATCATACAGTCAAATTATTCCACAGATGTGTCCCCGATTTGGCAGAAAAATAATCAGACATTCAGATGCTTTTGTTCATATGATGAATTCTGAGCTGGCAACCTCATATTGCAGTCTGCTGTAAGATATGTGGTGTCACTCTTTTTAATGGCCCCACACCCATACTCATTTTGAGAGCATGTTGAAACATTTTAGTATTGGGTTTCAGTTACTATTCTACTCTCACATTGTACTTTTGGCTTTGTACTGTTTCGTTGTAAAAATCTAGAATTACTCTTGTAGCTAAATTTATGCACTCTGTTGTTAAATTTTTTTTTTTTTCAATTCTGGACAATGTTACGATTTAGAAATATGAAATTCTCACCGAATTTTCTTACAAAATTTGAAATACCATATTTATGGTTGCAGATTGTTTATCCCACTCTGATAACATATGCAACTTTGTGTTTAAAATGCATCTTAAATATGAGCAATTATAATGGATAATCTATCCATTTTAATAACTTACTGTAATGTTTAATAATATTTTCACCTTGTGTTTCACTGTCACTGCTGTCCTCCCTTGAAGAGGCAGATGGTTCATCTATTACATGCCCTGCATTTGGTTTTCTGATGTCATCGACCTTGACAGATCCTTCAGTGTGATTGTTAGAACACTGTGTATTTTGCTTACTGCCATTTTCTTCGTCTATACTAATGTCTGTACTATTTTTGTTACTGATGGTGTACATTCTCAGTTTTTCTGCTTTGGGATTGTCATCCTGTTTTGGTTTGAATTCTGTTGGCTGTTCTTCACGTGAATCGTCAAAATCATTCAAATCATCGTCCACAGTATGTTCACCAATCGGAATATGAGCTTTGTGCCACACAGTTGACAGAGGTATTAATGTCTGCGGTGCTGAGGAAACATTCAGGGTACTTGTATTTCCATTTAATTTTTCATTTTCAGATGTCCTGTGATGTTGGTATTTAGTTTTTTTACCAGCAGGTCTCTTTCTGTATACTTCATCTTTCTTGATAGTATCAGCACTGCTGTTTTTTCGGTTGTTACTCTTTATAGTAACCCCCTCACTGGTCTCATTCCTGCCATCTTCAGCGGTTACATGTGGTTGCTTATGTTGCTTATTCTTTGATGTTATTATAGAAACAGTCCCGTTGGTATTGTCAGGAACTACAATCTGAATTAATTTGTGTTTTTTATGAAATTGTCCTGGTTTATGAAAATGTCTACCTTTACCTTTATGCAAGTATATAGTATTGTTATGTGAAGGTTTAATTCTGTTTTGGTTTTTACCATGTTTCCTGATATCTTGAGATATTTCTGTGGATGTTTCACTATCATGAGAGTCTGCAGCTTCCTTACTATTGTGTTTCTTCCACCCTTTGTTGTGATGATACACCTTTTCTACACTTTCCTCTTCATGTCTTTCAGTAGTATTTCTTATTCCTTCAGAAGTTGGTATTTTTAGTTTAATATGGATTTTCTTTCCTTCATGCTTTCTATTCGATGTCTGCTTGTCATCCTTATCAGGTGTTTCCTGTCCTGTAATTTGTGTCTTTTCCAAGTGACCATGGTAGGCAGGATTGCCAGTCTGTAGAACTATATACTCATGTTCTGAAACTATTCCATTTTCACGGCGATGTTCATGTGGGAAATGCAAAATTACCCTTATTGGTACAGTGCCATCATTTCTTTCAATCAAAGGTGATAAAGTATGACTCAAATAGTCTGTTTCATGCACTTTATCGTTTTGGTCTATATCACTGGAATTCAATTTGTGAATATTTTGATATGAATCTGCTGGAACAGAGATATTTTGCAACTGCTGAGGTTCCATTCCTTCCACCATGTCTTCAGATAATATTTTTCCATCTTTGTGTAACCTGTTCCTGTGATGATCTGTCGTGTTGAGTTCCTGTGTATTTGATATATTGTTTTTGTATTTGTGTGACTCCTTGGCATCAACTAAAGACTGCTGCTGCTGCCTGATTTGCATGTCAGATTGATTCCATTCTGTCTTGTTACAGTCTTGTGATACTACCACTGAAATCTTTTTGGATTTTGTTTGAGTTTTATTCAACATTGATTCCATCAGATTTTCTGAGTCACTTCTTTCAGTGCCTGTGTTGTTAACAAGCATTATTTCAGACTGTGTTTTGGTAATGTTTGTCTCAGTTTCATTGTTGAAATTGCCTGTTTCAGTTTCATTGATAGTTGTTATTCCAGTTTCATTGAAAAGAGTTAAAATGTTAAGTTCAGCTGTTGAAATTGTTTCTGCCACAGCTCTTGGATCAGTATTTTCTTGCTCCTGTAGAAACAGATGTATTATTAGTAACTTGTAAGTGAAGGAAAAAGAATCGCTTTGCCTCATGGGCCACTCTGATGCTAAATGATAAACATGTGCACAATTCTGTGCAATGAATTGTAGAGTAATCAGAGTGCTGCACTGTTATCTGACTGATTCCCTTTTAAGAATGTAAACTGCTAGTAAACCTTAAAGTCTATGCTGATTTCAAGTTTGGTTTAGATTTTGGGGCAGGGAAATATAATCAGATACACAAGTGTAAAGCCACACTGGCAACATAACCTTCACTTAGTGGCCTTACTTACTCGTGGAGCTGAGCCCTACCTGAGGAGCTGACAAGTCTGCAGCTACTCAATTTCCCAGCGTTTTATGGAACCTGAAGGTTAATTACCGTGTTCACAAGAGCCCTCCACTGGTTCCTATCCTGAGCCAGATCAGTCCAATCCATACCATGCCATCCTATTTCTCTAAGATCCATTTTAATATTGTTCACCCACTTATGCCTTGGTCTTCCGAGTGGTCTCTTTCCTTCTTGTTTTCCCACCAATATCCTGTATGCATTCCTCTTCTCCCCATTCGTGCTTCACTTAGTGGCCTATTTTTCACATATGAATTTCTGGTAACAAGCCATGGTAGCTTAACCATTACGTCTGTATTGGAGGAAATTGTACTAATGCTAAAAGAACAGAGTCATGAAAATATATGAAGCGTGGAGAAAGTTCCACTACCAAAATCTGGCTGATTTTTTAAGTTCCTATGTGATTTGTTTAATGTTTTGACAGTCAGAAATAATCAATGCAGTTGACTTCAAATGAAGATTCATAACAGTTTAAATTTTGATTCCAAATAACATAAATTCTACAGAAAACTCTTAACGCAAATTTAAGATATTTGGAGGGAATTGGCGGAATATGTTATATTCTGAGACAGGAAGGGTTCCTAAAAGTAACTTAGAGAATTTTGTATTGATTAGTAGCTTTGTAACTGTTAACACTTAATGTATTTTCTCACATAATGCCAGGAAATCATAAAAGCAGTGACCAGAGTTTGCGTTAAATGAAAAGCGTGGAGTATTTTAACACATTAAATACACTTCAGTAGTTAATATATTGTGACATGTGTGACACATTACAATTTTATACAGCACTCTATGATTGGCAGAGCTATACTACAGTGACTCAGGATTTGTTCTATCAGAAATCCAAGATGAGCTGTTAGTTACGAATGCCATTACAATTTTAATGTTGACTGCATTGCAGTTGGGCTTGGGCTGAAACATATATATATCTTATACTGTTAGGACTATAAAAAATAATGCCTTTTAAATCTTTCAGTAAGTCTTGGAACTAATTTACATGACATTGATAGGAACTGCACATTGACCCTTAAGCTACATAATTTTTTATCCGCATATAACATTTCTTCTGAACTTCTTTTAACCAGTAAAGCATGTCTTCAAATTTTGTATGGTACATTTTTTTCAGCTGCATGCCTCAATTTGTACATTGCAGTTCTTGATGGCTAATAAACAAAACAGTATTTTCCTGCTATGTGGAAGTGTAATGCAGTAACCAGAGGACAAGATTGAAAAATTGTGTTCTCATTGCAACATATTTGTCCAACTGAAAAAGCCCTTCATGGTCACCACTTCAGATATAGTTTTATAAAAATGGCTGTGTAAGGTCAATAAAGATTTTTTAATGTTATATTTCAGCATCCTGTTGCATTAATATCTCACTCACTCACTTCCATCTGTAAATGCAAACACAACTTTTTATTTTAAATGTCATTTATAATTACATTTAGAATTCGTAAAATGTCATTCGTTGCTAAATGTTTTGGTCTCACGAGGCCATCATCAGGCAACTATTAACTTAAGGAAATCACTGCGCTGTATGGGCTCACATGTTCCTCATACTATTTTTATGTGTGTCATTCCCCTTGTGTTACTTGTTCATAATTTTCTAGGTCAGGCATGTGTCACTTTTATTATAAAAGGGACACACATACATAACATAACATAATGGTGACTTCACCTTCATGGCATGCACCCTGTGTTCATGAACCCCGTAGCAGCAATAAATCCATGGCAATATAACCATTACTTTTAATCTTGGTTATTTGCTACTAGCAGAATTTAAGTTAGTTAAAGTTATACTTTTGTGTTTTTTTATTTAATATGATTGATGTGTTAATAGTCACAAGTAATTACTGCATATGAGATGACTGTATTTATTAATTAATAATTAATTTTTGTGCCAGTTTAGTGGTCCTTATACTAAGGCCATAGAAAGAAGTCCCATGGGTTGACACCCTTCATATCTACCTTTGGTTTTATGTTTCCCCCTTTAGAGTTCTTCCTTAAATGTCCCTTCTAGTCATCCAGCCATTCTCATCACACAGATATTGCTAATAATAAGCTTTCCTATTGGGATAAAGCCTCAAAGTTCATAGAATCCATTTTTCGATTCCCTACAGTTTACATTGTTCATGTGGTGTTAGTTATGTGTGATACCTTAATATTTAGGTACCTCTTTAGATTATTGTACTTACTGGGACAGTTAGGTTACAAGGACCACATGGATCATCATTGTATGTTGATAAAATGGCCGCTTTAACATAAGGATAGGTTAGTAGACTCCATGGAGAGATCACTTGATACACGAGTCGTCCACACCTGCAGCAGTATTCAGTTTCCTCAGGACATTTACTTTACATGTGTTACTTGTAGCTACTCAGTGAGAAGTGAAATTTGTTAATACTTACTGATTTTGGATATCCTTTGTTTACAAAAATATATTTACTTTTTACATATTCAGAATCTTGATATGTGATCATTATATTAACGAACCTAAGAGCCATGTGGTCATCAACCGAATTGCACCATGGACATATATGTTTATATTACAAAACTGCTGATCATGCTGCTGTTATGTTTTATGTGAAAGTTCATTTTTCCAGATCTCCATGCTGGTAAAAATATGTAAGATTTCATGAGAAACTTCATGAATGTAGATCAGTTAGATGATCCAGAAAAAATTTAGAGTGGAAGCACTGTTGACTTCTTTGGAATTTCTCATTTAGTAGGTGAGATTAATGTAATAAAATTATAGTTGTCTGGATTATGATATAAAGGAGTTCTGCTTAAGAACATACTACATACGTCTTGCAGATGGGCGTTTTTAGAATGAACATAGAAACAGCAAGGTCCTCTGAAATGCTTGTAACTGCTTACAGAACTACATGCTATCAATTCCCAAAAAATCAGTCTTAATATTCACAGCTTCAAAAACCTCAGATTATGGTACCATAATAGTTTTTACCTGTCCAGTACAAGAACGTGATCAATTCCTCCTTCCAGTATGGATTGCCAAGTGCCAGAGGCAATGATCTGAGGCTCTTGTAACACTGGAATGTCCCCTGCCATGTTTTTGAGCATAGCAAATCCTTCAGTTTCATTCATGGCAAGTTTAGAGTTAATAATACGAAATGCAACATCAGAGAATCCAGCAGAAGTTAAGCGGGCTTGGAGATCTTGCATCCTGAAAATATTAGATATAATTTTCCTTCCATTGAAAGTTTCTCATAAATGTTCCTGTTTTGTTGGCTGTAAAGTTTGTAAGGCAGCACAACTGTATAGATAAACCTAAAACCAGATGCTCTGTTAATTGCAAGTATTCAGGTTCTTGTGAAAAATTCAGATGACAAATTGCATTGTGCAGTTGTGTGTGGTGTTTCCTGGGAAGGTATCTCCATAATATGGAAATGTGTTTAAGTGGCCTGAAAGTTAAGGCTGCTTGGAAAAAAGTCAGTGATTCTGATGTATGTGGTATCTCTTTAGATTTTCATGGTGCCCAGGAGTCAGACTTATTAGAATAAATTGGGTTTCATGGGTTTGTTATGTCCACTTGTATGGAAGAAAGAACAACGTTATGTTTACATATGATGCACATTAGCAATATTCACCTTGACTGTGAGGCTGTAGCATTTACTCATTATTTTTATAAATGAAAGTTTACACATGATACATACAACTTAGTATAGTTTGTTTCATATAAAATTGCTCACTAACGTAATGTATGCCTCTGTCACAATTTTAATTATGCAAAGTGAAGGACAGGATTATTATAATCAGTATGTTTAGATTATTAGAAGTTCTCATTGACATTTAGTGTATACACAGTAAAATAAATTAAAGTAGCTCTACTAAACACACTTATGTAACATGTTTTTACATGAAGATAATTGTCAAATTTCTAACATTGTTCTGACATATGTTTAAAGATAACATACTTATGTTTTAGGTTAAATTGCATCACTGATGGACCACTATGTTCATTATATGACTTATAATATGTGATTTGCATTTGTATTGACTTTATGTAAGACTCTTTATTCAGAAAATCATGTTTACCTAAGAATGGAATTGAAATTATTATTTGAACAAGAACCATCCATGTATGGGACTAGAGGTAGGAATAGTTGCATGTTTCAAATGGTTGCAGTATTGCTATTTTGGGAATTTAAAATTCCACTTCTTTTTTGTGGCATGTCATTGAAAACAGATTGTGAGTACTTTCTTTCTCGATCCATTGCTATATGGTCACTTATAAAGTTGTTGTGGTGTTACGGAATAACTTAAGAGATGTGCGCATGTCATGGGGTCATGGGTGAGTTGTACAGATAAGTCCACTGGAGAATTTATCGACTTTGTCAACAGATTTCATTGTTAGTAAAGCAAATTGCATTTTCAACAGAGCAAGCAAATTTCAAAGGTCTTGTACCCAATAAATTCACAGTACCAAGTCCAATGTACATTAACACAAACCGTAAATGTTTAGCTGTTTTTCTCCAGTGTTCACATTCACCACTTTGACCAGCACCCCACTGATGCCATTACTACTATCAGTGATCACTACTGCCACAGTTTACAATATTATATTTAAGCATCCTGTTGCACTCCATACGATAAATGATATAATGATAAAAACTCCGTCTCAAGTGCAAACAATATATTTTGTGTCTTTGATCTTGTTCCCCTACACTACATGTTTCGGCCTCAGACGGCCATCATCAGGTGTATAACACTCACGTCGCTGTCACACTGCACCCAGCTCAAAATTTAACATTTAAAAACACTTTCCTTGTTATTATCAACTTCACTTCGTTGATAACTGCCTGGTTTGTAGATTATTTTATATTACACACGTTAATTTTGACTTTGTTATAATAGCACTATAATAAAATCTTTAGTTCTAATTTTAAAAACCTTTAAATTTCTTTCCTAAATTTTAAAATTTTTAAAATTGTTAGGGTTATTCGCCCTATGTTTAAAGTGCTGCAGCGGCTAGTTCTTGTTACCACACTGTATAGGTGTTATCTTGTGTAGTCTTTCTGTGTGTGTGCCGCTGCTATTCTTTACTACGTGTGCAACACGTGTGCGACGTGAGTGTTATACACCTGATGATGGCCGTCTGAGGCCGAAACACGTAGTGTAGGGGAACAAGATCAAAGACACAAAATATATTGTTTGCACTTGAGATGGAGTTTTTATCATTATAACATTTACTGCCACAGTTGCTTCTACCGTTATGTCCAGTATAACTAGCCTCTCAGCACAGTGTAGTGTGTTAAACACATCAACTTACTTTCTAGCTGCCCTTGTACATTAAATGCATGTGTGAGAGAGGCTTTATTTAGTGAATTTCTTAATTGGCAAAACCCTTTGAACACTTTAAACATTCTTTTCTCATTATATATTTTTTAAAGTTTCTGTGCATTCACAGAGGTATAAGCAAATAACAAAATAATTAACTCCAGTGTGAGTAACTTTTGTCTCCATCAAACAAAACAAAAAACAAACTCCATAGCTTTAGTCCTCAAGTGAACTATACTGACTGAGCGACCACCGCTTGTCGGATAAGTTAGTGCTAACTTTCAGCGGATAAAAGGTGTCACGTGGTCAGCGCAATGAATCCTGACAGTTGTTAATTTCGATTTTCTAGACCGGAGCCACTGTTTCCTTGAAATAGCTCCTCAGTTATCCTCACAAGGCTGAGTGGACCCTGTTCCAGACCCACTACTTCTCAGAAAATCTGGTAGCGCCGAGAATCGAACCCAGGACCTCTGGATCTGTAGCCAGGAACTCTGACCACTAGACCACGAAGACGGTCATCCTTTGTCTCCATCTTATGCTTATTTCCAATTTGTGAACATTGAATGAGGGAGACAGAAAGTAAAATTTATACCATCAAGTAAAGTATCATTTCTAACGGTCTTTCTAAAATTGACAAAAGCCCTTAATAATTTTTATTAAACATGATACTTTATTAATGTCACTCGAAAGGAAAGACAGACTCAGGGCATCCATGAATGTGATGGAGAGATCAGGTTTACTACTTTTATAGCTAAAGCATTCAAATGTTAAAATGAAATAAGTTTCAACAGCTCTCATAATTACATTTTAAACATTTGTAAGATGAAAATAGAATTACATTTCGAACTGAGACAGACTATGCAGCCTAATTAATGAAATGCTGATGTTGATGAAATTTGAATGGCAGTTTCAGCTCCATGCTTTGTATAATTGTGCTTGATTGCTCACTTTAAACTGTCACATTTCTTGTCTTAATAATATATATACATTTATGCAGCTATATTCTTTGGAGGAAAATGAGGAACTTGATGATTCATGCACATTACCAGTGTCATTAGGGTGGATGAATCAAGGAGGCTGTAATAGATGGGATATACGAAGGGGGACCCAAAAATAACCGGAAACGACCTGTTGCTTTCTGTTAGGGAAAACTGCACTTCACTCTTCAAATCGCGGCAAACATTCACGCAGTTTTCTCTTTGGTCATCTCCGAGCAAGCGAGGAACAAATTTTGCAGACACCCATCTCATGTGCAAACCTTCGGTTAAAATTCGCTGGACCATGCTGCATGAGATGTTCGTTTCCTCAGAAAGTTGGTCAATGGTCTTTCGACGATCTTCATCAATTTCACGCACACTCTTTGTTCCTTCTGGTCGGCCATCTCACTAATCGCCAAAGGGTTGAAACAGGAACGCACACAACAGAGCACCACAGACAAACCACTTAACTCAGACTGACGCCAGCTCACTAACAGTCGCGGGAGACCCCCAGCTAACACCACCTAGCAGCACAACTCGTAACTACAAAGCATGCGCGTGCAACAGGTCGTTTCCGGTTATTTTTGGGTCCCCCCTCATATATCATGGGATAGATGAGAAATTAATACAAAATGTTAGGTGGAAAACTTGAAGCGAAAATGCCATTTGGATTACCTAGGCATAGATGGGAGAATGTTATTAAAATGATTCCTAAAGAAGCAGGGTGTGATGATGTATATTAGATTCATATTGCTCAGGAAAGGATCCAGTGGTGGGCTCATGTGAACATAGTAATGGACCTCAGGTTTCATAAAAAGCAGGTAAAGTTGTACCTGTAACAGGCCGTGAAGGCCCATAGGGGTATGAGAGGTTGAGAGTCCCACATCTTCCGAACACTTGGCTCACAGATGGCGGTAAGGTTATCAGCCTTACGTGCCAGCCACCCTTAACCCCCAAGGAATTTTCCTGGTACTCATTTCTGTTAGAGGCTGAGTCAATCCCACGGTTATAGTGCAGCTGGAAGGATTAGGTCAGTTGAGAAAATCCAGTGACCTCATTGGGACTTGAACCTGCGACCTACCTGCTTGTAGCATAGTGCCTCAACCAACTACTGCATGCCCCCCTTTAGGTTTCATAAACATGGAAATTACTTAACTTGCCAAGTGAATGTTGGTGTCTCAAGAAGGACTATGCACAATGGAGTTAGTTAATTATGTATTCTTTGGAGTTCTGGAACAAGGAAAATAAGAGAAATGGCAAGTTTTGAAGGATGCTATTATGAGACATCTGTACATACAAATATACTGTAACACCATGCATTTTATGCACACAAAGACAAAAAAAAATGTTTTATTATTTTCTAATTCATGGTTAACTAAAAAATTGCAAGTGGAACATTTAATGTGCATTTTATGCACACAAACCATTAAAAAAATATTTTTTTATTATTTTCTAATTTGTAGTTAACGAAAAATTTGAAGTGGAATAAGGCTTGCTAAAGCAGTATTAGGGCATGTACTGTCTTCGCTCGCTTGGAAACCGGGATCATGGGTTCGAATCCCACTCAGGGCATGGATGTTTAGTTTGTGTGTGTGCGTTTTTCTGTGTTTGTGTACAGGTAGAGGCCTTGCGACGAGCTGATCACCCACCCAAGGAGTCCTACTGAATGTGTAAGATCTAGAAAGAATGAAGTGAACAGAGAAGTTCATGGAAGTAGGCGTAGGCCCACTGGGGCTGTAGTGCCAAGGAAAAAGAAATCCTTCCAGCAGCATGTACTGTCTTCGCTCGCTTGGAAACCGTGATCATGGGTTCGAATCCCATTAAGGGGATGGATGTTTAGTTTGTGTGTGTGCGTTTTTCTGTGTTTGTGTACAGGTAGAGGCCTTGCGATGAGCTGATCACCCGCCCAAGGAGTCCTACCGAATGTGTAAGATCTAGAAAGAACAAAGTGAACGGAGAAGTTCATGGAAGTGGGCCTAGGCCCACTGGGGCTGTAGTGCCAAGGAAAAAAAAAATCCTTCCAGCAGCATGTACTGTCTTCGCTCACTTGGAAACCGTGATCATGGGTTCGAATCCCATTCAGAGGATGGATGTTTAGTTTGTGTGTGTGCGTTTTTCTGTGTTTGTATACAGGTAGAGGCCTTGCGACGAGCTGATCACCCGTCCAAGGAGTCCTACCGACTGTGTAAGATCTACAAAAACCGAAGTGAACGGAGAAGTTCATGGAGGTAGGCCTAGGACCACGGGGGTGTAGTGCCGGGGGGGGGGAGAAGAAAAAAAAAAGAAGCAGTAAAACATTATTTATTCAGATTGAACTGTACTTACAATCCAGCCTGCTTGAAACAAAGATGTCAGGAGGAGTTGAATATACCAACCACTGTTATATTTCCATCTTGCAGAACTTCATTATTTTCAATAGTCCATTGAGGCAATAGTGGGCATTGCTCAGTTGACTGTGACACTTGAACCAGTGGCAAGATGAAAATTAATAATGCCAACATGGACATTTTGCTGGGGAAAAGAGGATTTTGTTTGTAATTTACTTCACAGAATGTCTTCACATAGATTGTTTTTTATTTTGTGTTCCAAACTTGGAGGCTTTCATGTCTTGCAGAAGATTTGTGTTGCTGAAATATTTTAGCTATTACAACGTTAAAATCCTTTGCCTTTGAAAGCTGTATGATTATGGTAGTCAAAAATTGTTCTTCCTTTTGTCTTTGCCTTCCCAGGTACTAAGCAGAATATATGCTACAAGCTATTTGTAGAACTAGTAAAATTAAGCTTAGACTGGAAGAGTCATGTAGAGTATGTTCTCCCTAAACTTAGTTCAGCTATTTTTGTAATTAGGAGTTTATCTTATTTTATGAGTAAAAAAATTTTATGAATGGTGTTTTTTTCTTATTTCCACTCTATTCTTAAGTATGGAATAATTTTTGGGGGTGACTCAACGAATAATGTTAAGAGTTTTTAAATTACAAAAAAAAAAGTAATAAGGATTATATCTGGAGTGGGACCTAGAGACTCTTGTAGGCATCTTTTTAGGAAATTGAATGTACTGCCATTGTCATGTGAATACATTCTCTCGATGATGTTTGTGATTGATAACCAAACTAAATTTTGTTCAGGTTTAGATGTTTATGGTTTGAATACAAGAAATCGAAAGCAATTATATTTGCCAAACGCGAATCTTTCTGCTTTTCAGAAAGGTGCTATGTTTACTGCTATTAAACTATTCAACAGATTGCCCATAACCACTCAAAGCCTTAAAGAGGATAGAATTAGTTTTAAAAATAGGCCGTTTTTATATCTTATGAATAATTCCTTTTATACAGTTTCTGAATATGTGGAGCATAACATAAACAATTAGTTTTAATTATTTTGTTATCTGCGTGTTTGTTTAAATTTTGTATGACGACCTTCATGTCCATTTGTTTTGACTTGTGAAATGAAATGTATGTATGTATGTATGTATCAGGCCAACAGTTTGCTTCCATAGAGGTTAAACTCGAAACCATCAAGCCAGTAGTGATGTAAAGCGATTTTATGCTTACCACATATTTGCTGAAGTTGTAATGAAAAACTTTCTAAATATAGAGAATATATTATATTTAAGCATCCTGTTGCACTATACACTTCTATATGTAATAATACAAATGCCGTCGTGAATGCAACAATATATTTGGCTGTAGTTCTTTGTCTTTTCTTCCTCTACACTACATGTTTCGGCTGTAACTGGCCATCATCAGGTGTATTTTTCACTACGTAGCTGTCACACTGCACACAATCCAAAATATAAAACACCAGCCTGTCAGTTTTGTTTAAAATCTCGCCAATATATGCTCGTCAATTTGATTTTAATATTCCAATTTAAAANCACAGAGCAGGTATCCCTGTGATTTAAAACTTTAAATTGGAATACTAAAATCAAATTGACGAGCATATGTTGGCAAGATTTTAAACAAAACTGACAGGCTGGTGTTTTAGATTTTGGAGTGTGTGCAGTGTGACAGCTATGTAGTGAAAAATACACCTGATGATGGCCAGTTACAGCCGAAACATGTAGTGTAGAGGAAGAAAAGACAAAGAACTACAACCAAATAAATTGTTGCATTCACGACGGCATTTGTATTACTGTATTTACGCATGTATAGGCCGCGTGCGTGTATAGGCCGCAGCACAATTTTCAGACAAATTATAGAAAAAATAATTTTCTTGGAATATTATTTCAGGAGTAGAACATTCTGTATTACTAATTATGAATATAATTTTTTTTAAATGAAGTGTGATTTCGAATATAAGCCGCACCCCAGTTTTCCTCTTGAATTTTTGGCAAAAAATGTCCGGCCTATACATGCGTAAATATGGTATTACATATATAGAGAGTAATACATTTTTTTTTTCTAATTAGTTTCAAATTGCGAAAAATTATCATACAAAACTTCCGCAGTGCCACATTGTAAATCATATTTTATATTAAATCTAAAAGTTTGTGAAGATGATACATTAATACAATTACAGTGTTTGGATATTATCCATCATCCTGTTTTTTATTTAAAAATATTTCAGGGACTGGATTCTGAGATAGAGACAGAATCCAATCTCTGAAATGTTTTGTTTTAAATAAAAAACAGGAATATAGATATTTTCTGTTAGTTTACATTTCATACTTAAACTTGCCCAGTATTAATGCTGCATAGTAAAGGGCAAAGTTTTCTCTACACTTCATTAATTATGAACCACTCCATGAAGACGTATGGGGGGGTGGAGCTGTAGGTGCTCATATTTTTAACTGTAGCATTAGAGGGAACTGAGCAGTGAGCCTCACACACCAACCATATTATCCCTGGGTATAGATTCCGTGGTACCCATTGTACAGGCTGGGTGGACCCCAGAGCCAGTATGGTGCTATGGAGAAGAGAAAAATCAAAACCAGATTCCTTGACTGTCCAGTCTATATCATAGTTGCTGTACCAACTGAGCTATCCCAGAACCTAATTCAACTTAGTGCAAAGACATTGTTTTTCATACAAAGTTTCAGAATGTTCATTTTGAGCTGATGAGTAATGTTGGTAATCAGTGGTCTCTTTATAATTTTGTGACATATTCGTTCAAAGCAACAGCCGGCTGTTACTAGGCAGTGACCCATAAACAACAGCAGAGGAATGTGTTTTCCATGCAGACCGTTCTGAGCTGTTATAAGCAGGACAAGTTAGGAGTTTCACTTAGTTAGATGACCTCTGGGGTTCAGCTGTTGTGAGCTGTTGCTATGAGAAGCTAGTAGCTGAGGATGGGTACAGTTCAGAAACCCAGAGGAAGGGGAATGTCCGCCATTGGCCTGTAGTCCGCTAGCAAACTAATTGTATACCGATCGAGCGACCGCTGCTTGTCGGCAAAGTTGGTGCCAACTTTTACCAGAACTGCTATGTTAATATGTGCATGAGAAATCAGAAATAAAATGGACATTTGAAGAGCATTTAAAAAACAGTTAATTGTAAATATGAATCTTAATTGGGTGTGTATATGCTGTTTTAAAACTTAATGAGGAGAATATTGACTTGAGTGACAGTAACAGCTGAGTATCAGTCCTGGAGTTAGGTTGCTGTTACATGATGCACAAACATTAAATAAGAAAATCTGACTTGGATGGTGAAAGCAGGATCACACTAAATAGAAAATGTGAAGGGAAAATGTTGCAGACATCCTGATCATTCAGAACAAGTCTTTCATTAAGATCTTGAGGCTAAAACCAAACTGCGTGTGACAGTAATCACAAACAAGTTCTTAGGAAAAGAGCACTGCAAATATACACATATACACATACACACACAGAGATAGCCACATATATTGTTAATTTGTTGCCCCACAACTCTTGCTTATTCTAGTCAAACTTTTATGGATATGAGTGTGTCAGCCATTAATTTTCCTGGTTTCCTACACTTATACAAAGAATTCTATTCTTTTTGGTAAATGACTGTTTGGTACTCACTCAGTACATTACATGTGTAGTCAGTTGTTTCTTTTGAAGACCACTTAGCTACTGTTGTGATTCTGAATGTTTTCCTTGAGTCTGTAATTTAACAGTCAGCTGATTTGTAAAGGAGGAAGTAGATGCTAAAGGTCATGCAGTGTATAAATAGATACTGTACATGGTCCATATAAACATTTGAAGTATCATCTACATTATGTGATGATGTAAGCCTTTGTGTATACATATCAAGTCTAGTGCAGTATGGCCCAGTGTTTTTGTTACATTCTGTGATATAGGTTTACGACATCACCCGATTTGTATGCCACAGTCAAATGTTGCTGTTTTTGTGTGATGGGTAGGGATGCTTCATTATTCTCTCACAAAAATCTGAATATAACTGTAACAAAATATTACAAGTATCAACAATTATATATATATATATGTATTATCACTTTCACACCCAGAAGATTACATCACATATGAAAAATCATGAAAATCTGAAGTCTTAGCTCCTTTTTTTAATAATTTTCCTCTGTCATACAAGAACACGGTGATATTTCTCTCTAGCTTTCTCAGTAAAATGTTGGACCAAAATGTTCTGTCATTACCCTACTATATTGTCTACAAGATGAACATTTTAGCATAGTTGGTTAAGGCATTATACTACAAGGCATAAGATCGCGGGTTCGATTTCCATTGACATAACTGTTGTTCCATTTTAATATTATCTTCCACATTCAGTTCTTTTTTTAAATGTCTTTCTATATGGCTTCTACATGAAAATTTGATTCATAGCCTATATATTTCTCAATGCCAACTCAATTTAATTACTTTCTTGTTATAAGATCGTAAGCAGTAGGTAACATATAAACCATAGGGCTTCCTGTGATGGAATTTTTCTTAATTACTTATCCATCTTCTTTAATCAAGTGTCTCATCTGAACTCTTAACTAGTTTCATCCGTGCTTGCTATGGCAGCCCCATTAAGACTTCTGTATATGTTCTGTGTAGTGTGCTACCCAGAGTAATGCTAGATTTTATAAAATGACACAGTTTTCTATCAATGGAATTTTATATCATCTGACTGATACTGATATGCTCTAGGTTCAGTTTTGTTAAGCACAATATATCACTGTGGTCACGGTGCAAGGGCCTAGAAAGCCCACCCCTTATACATTAATTCATTCAATTTTGTGCCTTCTTTTAATCCTTAATTTGATTCTTCCAGTTTATTTGTAACTGCATTTTTATATACTTTATTTCTTTCTTCTTTCAGGCTCTTTATGTCTTATATTTCCTTCATTTTTATATCTTTCCTTGCTTCTTTTCATTGTTTACTTCCCTTTAAAAATTAAATAATAAAAACTTTGTGGGTATTTACTTTTCACATACTAGTAGTATTACTGGGAAGTTAAATAGTGGAGAGTGAAGGGGCCAGACATTTGGCATTTGTGAAGATTTATGAATAGATCGAGACTCATCTCCTTGCCTTGCAGCCGTGGTTTTGTGCCCACTGTCATTTTGTAAATTTCATGGGTTAATAGTTGGTCTTCGGCATTCGGCAGTCTCCAAAACGGTTTAGAAGTGGGGGATGGGGGGTCTTGAACGAGAGATGCGCATACGTCGGCATGTGAACCCCGTTTTATGGTAAGTTCACGCCGAAATATTATTTAAGCCAACGATTTAATTGTTGAATAAATCACTGCATTGTCAACATCCAGAAACCTTTTGTATACTTTTAACATAACTCCGTGGTTTTAGTCCGCAAACGAACTATACCGTCCGAGCGACCGCCGCTTTTCGGCGAAGTTAGTGCCAGCTTTAGCGGATAGAGGATGTCGCGTGGTCAGCGCAACGAATTCCCACTAATTTCGGTTTTCTACATCGGAGCCGCAATTTCCTTGAAACAGCTCCTCAATTATTCTCATGGGGCTGGGTGGATCCCGTTCCAGACCCACTACTTCTCAGAAAATCTTTTAGCGCCCGGAATCGAACCCGGACCTCTGGATGTGTAGCCAGGAACAGTGACCACCAGATCACAGAAGCGGTCTTATACTTATAACATGCTGTAAGAATTTTAAAGTTCAAATGTCAGATTAATTGTATGTATTTACGTGTATTTGTATATTAAACAACACTGTAAGTAACCCGGACTATGTGGCCGCGCCATTGCTCAAGCGGTTAGTCGCGGCGGCGGTCCGGGTTCGATCCCGGGTCTGGTCAAGTGGGATTTGTGGTGGACAAGTGGCGCTGGGGCAGGTTTTCTCCGAGTACTTCGGTTTCCCCTGCCAATCTTCATTCCACCAATTGCTCCACAGTCACCCTCACCTATCATCTGGGGCTGGTACAATAGGTGAGAAGTGGCCGCAGTACAAGGGACTTAGTCCCACCCCACTAGCAAAAAAAAAACCGCACTATGTAGCATCGAATGATTGTATGAAAGAGAACATTGAATTGGAATGGGTGTGGAAGGAAAGTTCTTGTCATGGTTTAAGATATTGTTTCGGTATATGCACGGAAAGACTGAGGAAATTCACGAATACCCTAAATTGGTCTCTGCCAAAATTTGTACAGTGCATCCCCTACGAAATTCAAGCCAGAAAACCCCTTATCTTCTGAAGAATACCGTCTTTTGGGATGTGGCGCCGTGTAGATATTATGTGAACCGACGTTTCGGAGGAACATATCGCCTCCATCTCTTATTTGTTCGGTCAATTGAAATCTTCTTTCTTTAATATAGCAGTTCCCAAACTTTTTCGGTTCACTGGCCTCTTGGTTCCAAAAACTCATTCTCAGGGCCCCCTACTGTACTCTATAAAAAGCATTCTTCAGAACAGCGGTTTGCACAACCAAGTAAAATAATAGTAACAAATTAAGATAACATCTATTAAATATTTCACTATTAGCAAATTTTGGCGTGAGTGATACCAGTTTCCCAATACGATGGGGTACCCAAAAGAAACCGAACTAATTTTTTTGTGGGCAGAGCTTTTGTAGTACCGCGTTTTGCCGCTATGAGCGCATAGAGCTAACATTCCTGAGTCGATAAGCCGACTACCGTTGCTTCAGAAGGTAAGGACTAGTTTCGGCAGAGTTTATAGTGACAACTGTTTTGTGTGATCGTCGTTTTTGCAATGGCCCATTTTCGTGAACAGCGTGCGGCGGTGAAATTCTGCTTTTTGCTCGGGAAAAGTGGAACAGAAACTCTTGAAATGTTAAAAACGGCGTACAAGGACGATGCTATGGGGAAAACTCAAGTGTTTGAGTGGTTTTCCCGTTTCAAAAATGGTGAAATGTCAATTGATGACAAACCTCGTTCTGGTCGTCCTTCCACGGCCCGAACACATGAAAATGTTGAAAAAATTCGTGAAATCATCAAGGAAGATCGACGACGGACCATTGAAGAAATTGTGGAGCTGTCGGGAGTGACTTGGAGCTCAGCGGCCAGATTTGTGGCAGTCGGGTGACTGGTTTTTCCATCATGACAATGCCCCTGCTCACACAGCCCTGTCTGTACGACAATTCTTGACCAAAAATGGTATGACCCCTGTTCCTCACCCTCCATACTCACCCGACCTTGCCCCGTGCGACTTTTTTTTTGTTTCCTCGAATGAAAAGAGACATGAAAGGAAAAAACGACGGAGGCGCTGTTAAGCATCTCAAAAGATGAATTTAGACAATGTTTTGAAAAATGGAATAAAAGAGTAGACAAGTGTATTAGTGTAAGTGGAGAGTACTTTGAAGGGGATTGAAAGTTTGTGCTTAAAATTTGAATAAATAAGTTAAAAAAAATAAGTTCGATTTCTTTTGGGTACCCCCTCGTATCTGGGCTAAGTCATTTCAATCGTAAATAAGTGAACAACGATCTCAAAGGGGCCCGCCTCCAGCGTCACCTGCCGCCTCCTAGCTTGTTAGTTACCCCCGGGGGCGGTACAGCCCTCTTTGTGAGCCACTGGTTTAATGCATGTAGGATATAGATTCATAAATTTGTGACACAACTGTACTGCTTCCATGTGTGGCAAGTTATGACTAGCAGGCTGGACGTTTTGTAGCCCCTAATCTGTATGAAACTCTTATGCGTAGAAATGCAGCAGTGATTGATGATGACAGCTGCTCCAAGCAGTCATACTGGAAATAATCTGAGTGCAAGAATGGTCTAATGACTGTTGTTGCCGAATGTACAGAAATAACTGTAGCTAATGTGAAAATGCACAAGTAAGTTGAATTGTACTGACTTGATTATGAATCTTATTATCTCTTTGAGGAGCACTGGGGTTTTCTCTTTGCTCTATATTCAAAATTAGTCTGAATTATTGATCATTTAGGTTGTTTCTACGGAAGTAGTGCAGGTTGCTATACAGGGTGTTGATGCTATAGAGGTTTCATTTGTATCATCTCAGCCAGCTTCAGGTCCGGAGTTTATATTAAAGAAAGCACAATTTGTGTTATTAATACAAACACTCTTTTTGTTTTTACATTTCCATTTCCTTATTGATATTTTCTCCTTTAATGTCACTTCCATTTTAGTCTTTATCACTTCACGCTTTACACCCCTTCTCTTTCTCCCCTATAAGAAATTTATTGCGTGAATGTGGCCATCTGAAGGACCAAGAATGAGATGGAAAGACAACATCGAGCTCAGTGTTGGAAAATAAGTCGTGAAGAGAGGAGGTGGATGCAAATGATTCAACATTATGTCTGACAGACCGGGAAAATTCATTTAAGCAGTAACTGTATTGACTCTTACTCAGGAATTGTCTGATTATGTTCTTGTCTGGGACACTGAACTTTCCATCTGGAGTTCTTATGGTTGTTCTCCTAAAAAACAAACTCCGTGGCTTTAGTCCGCAAGCGAACTATACCGACCGATCGACCGCCGCTTGTCGTCGAAGTTAATGCTAACTTTAGCGGATTGAGGGTGTCACGTGGTCAGCGCAACGGATCCCTACAGCCGTTAATTTTGGTTTTCTAGTCTGGAGTCACAACTTTTCAGTTCAAGTAGCTCCTCAACTATCCTCACGAGGCTGAGTGGATCCCGTTCCAGACCCAGTATGTCTCAGAAAATCTGGTAGCACCGGCAATCGAAACCGGGACCTCTGGATCTGTAGCCAGGAACCCTGACCACTAGACCACAGGGCGGTCGGTTGTTCTCTGACCCATATATTATTAGAATGTTGTATTTGACGTTCTCACACGATTCACTATGAAGAGCATTATCTTTTAAGATATAATTCATTGTAGTCCAGCAGAAGTTCATCAACATTTTGGGGGAACATATGCCTCCATCTTCAGAGTCAAAGAGGAGTCCAAACAAGTAGTCAGCAAGGAGGAAGCCGAACAATTAGTCAGCAAGAAAGAGGTAACAAGCTAAGGAAACCTTGAAACTTTGGTCAGCTTCTCCCACACTCCATGGCATTACACCACAGAAGATAATACTCTTCATTATTAGAATGGTTAGAATCAAGAGGATGAGGTGGGCTGAGCATGTTGCAAGAATGAAAAAGGAAAGTACATACAAAATTCTGGTAGGATAAACTCCAGGAAAGAAACCACTAGATGTAGAAGGGATGGTAATTTTAAAATGTATCTTGAGGAACTATGATGTTTACCTGTGGATTGGATTTGTTTGGCTTAGGAAGGGGACCCGTGGTAAGCTCTTGTGAATATGGCAATGAACCTTTGAGTTCCATAAAGTATTGGGAAATTCTTGAGTAATTGAGCATCTTTTAGCTTAACAAAAAGGGCTCAACTCCATGAAGTTAGTTTTCTCACTGCCCCTAAGCAAATGTCAGAAGAGTACAAAGTAGTTAACTTTCAGTCCAGTGTGACATACAGGTTTTACAACACTTCAGTCTTTATTCGCCTTACATGTTTCGATTCAAAAGAATCATCTTGAGAGGCCCACCACTATGAGCAGGAAACACTGTCACATAAGATGTTTTAACATTATTCACTTAGGTTATGAATAGTGTTCACTATATCACAGTTTGCCCTATGCAGCCACGCTGACGTGTAGATTTACGTATGATGTTTCGTTTAAGCGTATTTGCTGGGTATTCAATTGGGGTTTCCCACTGCACGCAATGTGATGTTCAGTTTTCCATAAAATAGCTTCCCTTCTCGTAGTGGTGCGCCTCTGAAGATGATTCTTTTGAATCGAAACATGTAAGATGAATAAAGACTGAAGTGTTGTAAAACCTGTATGTCACACTGGACTGAAAGTTATCTACTTTGTAATTGATAGTGTGACGGACCAGAATGAGACAAATCAAATTTGTCAGAAGAGTATCTGAAGTCAGACAATGGCCACTTCCTCATCCTTCCAATTTAATTTATTATTCACTGATCACCCCATTATTCGACACCATACAGTTTGAGCTATTGACAGCGTTGTTAAATAAATCATAAATAAAGTAGATAAATGTGTCTGATAGTGGCTTTTGTATTAGTGGTATTGAATTTTGAGTTCTGATGTCATAGAATTAGTTAGGAAGATAATTGAAGTTATGCTGATTGAGTAGTAGGACCACACCATAGCTCAAGATATTTGGGAACTAGTGCTAAGGAGAATATTTTGACATAAAATGAAGGAAATAGCATGAAAACAATGGGAAAATGTACAACCAGAAGCTTCATAATTCATCTGTAATTTTAAAGCTGTTAAACAGAGGATGATAGATTCGAGGATATAGTATTGCATGGAGAGTGTATGCAATTCATATAAAATTTTAATCAAAAAGGCTCAAGGGAAGAGACAACTTTGGAACCTTTATCAATTATGACATTACAGTGATGATACCGCTTCATTTTGACATAGATCACTTTTCAGTCACCAGCCACTATTCCTCTGCAGCTGTCTTCTTACTGTTTCCCCTCTAGAAGCATGAGTACATGGTGTGCCTAAATAAAGTTCTTATTTACTTCATTTTCACAGATACACATGTATAGCACAAAACAAAATTTTAGTAATTAAACTGTATTCGTCAAATGAGATATGTGCATTTGTTCTCTCATGAGATGGGGTACTTCTGTAGAAAATGCTGTGATTGATACTAATCATTGTTATTTTATGTTATTATGTTTGTTCTCATCAGTATTTTTATTACCGATATTGTAGTTCTTACTCCTGCACACTACTTCTATTTCTGTAAAGTATGTCAAAGCATTATTCAACATAAAACCATAGGAAATAAGCCAATAAAATGATTCTTTTTAAATTTCTTGAGTTCTTGGAGATCTGATGCTGCATTAACCTCAAAGAAAGTTGAACTTACTTTGTTATCAGTCTGTTGTTCATGAGAAGTTATACAGTTGCTTATTCTTTTCAAGTCTGGAGATGTATGGAAACAAAAATGCTTTAACATCCTCTGCAGCCTAGGTACTGTTCACAGATATAGAGAAAAGTGATGCTTGTAAGTAAAGCCTTGTACGTTGGAAAAGTACAAATCACAGCGTATTAATGTTTAAATGTATTTTAACCAGAATGGATTACTATTTCTTTAATGATTTGCACCGGTGATTGTACTTGTGTCATTTTTCCGATCAACTGTCATTCATGTCTTTATGGTGGCATTGAACTTCAGGCATCAGTTCGAGAGGACATCTTGTACATGCTGACTGTGTATGACACTGTGTGGTGTGTGGTGTTGAAAGCAAATTATTTGTAAGTATAGTTCTCAGGTTAGGCAGATAAAACCTGTGAGAAATTGCAGCATCTTCTGAGTCTTATAAAATTTTAATTATAAAACAATATGATATTTTAACAACATTAAAATTAGATTTTATATGTATGTATGTGTGTATACACACACACACACACACACATACACACAATTATATTGCTTATTCAACAGAATTTAAAAAATTTCAGTATTAATAAATTTAATGTAAAATATCAAATGGTATCAAGAATGACAATACTCATGTGCCTCAGTCCCTTCCTGATCCATGTAAGAAATACTGACCTTCAGTGTAGACTGGACAGTGGCCAGTTATTTCTGGTTAATTAATTCATAGACATATGATTCTTTTGTCATATATTGATCATATGTAATGAATATACTCTTGCAGAAAAGTCTTTGCATATTTGTCTTGTTCTCAGTATAAGTATTCCTTTTGTCTTCGTTTCTATTTTAATAATGTTGATTGTGGACTTTGTCATGGTCTTGACCTTGGACTTGGTTGCAATGTAAATGTTGTCTTGGTTCTGGTCCTAGTTGTGGCCTTGGCACATTTCTTGCTCTTTGTCTGGGCTTTGGCCTTTGTCTTAGCTTTGGTCTTGGCCTTAGCCTTCATGTAAGCTTGGTCTTGACCTTCGGCTTTGTCTAAGCCTTGTTCATGGTACAGGTTTGAGCCTAATCTTTTTATCGATCTTGGTTTTGACCTTTGGATTGTGCTTTACATTTCCTGTTGCCTTGGTATTGGCCTTTTGACTTAGATTTTGTCTTGACATCAAATTTTCTTTTGGCCTTGAATTTGGTTGTTGCCTAATAATTTGTCTTTCAATTGGCCTTAGATTTTGACTTGATTTTTATATTGGCCATGTTCTATGCTTTGGGCTTGATATTTTTTTATACATATTGAAGAGAAACCAGAGTTTGGCTTGACGTTAGTTTTAGTCCTGCCCATGTCCTTGGTCGTGGTCTAGATCTTGGTCTTGACCATATGATTGGCATTTGTGTTGTCATTGGTCTTATACTTGGCCTTTGGATTAGGCTTGAAATTGGCATTCTCTTGACCTTGAGTTTTGCAGCATGGACATATTTTTTTCCCTATTATTTGAAAACCAGATGAAAGACCTGAAGATGGCACATGTGCCAAAACATATCATCTTAGACAGCAACTCCTTAAGCTGAAAATGGTGTTGTGCTGACAAGAATGAAATAAATATTATATCTAGTGATTTACACAACAGACTGCAGAAAATGAGCTAAGAGGATGTACTTTTCATATGTATACATATTTCTGAAAATAACAATTGTATTTGTAAAACAAAATTATGCAGAATGTACTAAAGATATAATGTCTTTTTTCTTGCAGGGGGTGTTTGGAAAGGGCACATTAAAGATTGCGATTGTCATAATACCTGATGCATTCAGATATACATGTATACGAATATAGGCTGTTCAATAGTGTGCCTTTCTTATGCATTACATTTTTGGCAGCATATATCTCATTACATGAAGTGTATATGTACAGAACTTCAGAGTCTTAAGTAAAGTCAGTGCTTAAGAACAGCACATTATGAGAAAAGAAAAGATAAAAATGATGCTGACATCCAAGCTGTTGTTATAATAAAGTAATAAAATGCATTTAAGAGAACTGAGAAACAATTTAACTCTTGTAATAAAATATACATTATTTTATGTATTAATGAACGCACCTTTATGAGTAAGAAGAAATGCTTGCTGTACCCTTCAAAGAAAATAATTAAGAACAAGGATTTCAGTATTATATATGGAAACTAGTTTTGTGGTTTTAGTGTTAAATCCAGCTGTGTAAATTGAAGTTCTTTGTGGGGTGGAATCAAGTTTAAGTATATAAGCTTGTGTTTAATTCCTCACATTAAATGGACTGTATCTTTATAGCTAGTTTCACTAGTATGCAAATATTGATACTCTGTATGCAATTGGAAGCTTATATTCAGCACTATACATGATCTTCATGCTGACTAAAATGCCAAGTCACATTCTTCAAGTGTGTGTGTTCATTATGGTTCTCTGTAACTGGCTGGTAATTGTGGGATGCTTGTTGGATGATGTGACAAAAACGACCGGTTTACATGAATTTGAGCTGGGTGGCAATGAGATATTTTACAATGCTGGACAGAGACCCAAAAAGAAACTCAAAGACACAGGTTCAAAACTGGAGAACTCAATTTTGAAATCAAAAGTTGAAGTATTAGGAGAAGTGCTGAAGAAACATGTGAACAGCCTACGAGCAGCAAATAATAAACAGGTTGGTAATGTGAGATTTAAAGTTTTCATTGTAGTGACATGTAAGTTATAGAGAAGAGGACTGTAGTGTACAAAGGGACTTAACTTAATCTCTCTGGTAGTTTTGGGATACAAACAATTTAAATTGGGATTAAATTTTTTGTATGTCACACGGCAATAGTACAGAAACAATACTCATTCAGGAAGGTGCTGTATGACTCAAAACAATTTTTAATCAAAAACTTAGAATGACTAGACAAGTGCACCTATTTCAATTATTGAACCCCCTTTTTAAATATACATATACATTTTGCACTGAAACAAGAGGCTCCAGTATTTGGAAACAGGAAACTTAATTTTAATTAACACAAGTAATTGCATTCTTAAAAGGTTTGATTTTTTGTGACAGTTTTAGTGATAATATGATCTTTACATTTATAAATCTAATCATTTTGTGTAAATAAGATTAGTGTCATAATTGTAAAGTTGCATTGAAAATGGCGTATATTTGAGTGATAATTATTACCTTGTAATCAAGTGAGAAGTAAGGTATGATTTGCAGGATTATTTTTTAGTATGTTATGCAATCTAAATATAAATTTATAAAACTCTGTTTTTCAGGTTGAGCTAGTGTTTCTTGTGGATTCATCAGCCAGCGTGGGTGCAGAAAATTTTGAGAGTGAGCTGAAGTTTGTTCGGAAGCTGCTTGCAGATTTTACTGTCTCTGAGAATGCTACACGTGTTTCTGTGATAGCATATTCTTCCCCTGACAGTGTGGTAATATTTATTCGACATTTAAATGTACCATAAAATGTATAGGTTACAGTGACATTAATTCTTAGGTACCTGAGTTGTCTAACCCTGAAGTTCCTTACATATTCTATGTATTGGTAAGGTTCAGAACATAACTAGACATACCAGTATATATATATACACATACACACATACTGGTATGTCTAGTTATACTATATATATATATGTATGTGTGTATNTTCAGGTTGAGCTAGTGTTTCTTGTGGATTCATCAGCCAGCGTGGGTGCAGAAAATTTTGAGAGTGAGCTGAAGTTTGTTCGGAAGCTGCTTGCAGATTTTACTGTCTCTGAGAATGCTACACGTGTTTCTGTGATAGCATATTCTTCCCCTGACAGTGTGGTAATATTTATTCGACATTTAAATGTACCATAAAATGTATAGGTTACAGTGACATTAATTCTTAGGTACCTGAGTTGTCTAACCCTGAAGTTCCTTACATATTCTATGTATTGGTAAGGTTCAGAACATAACTAGACATACCAGTATATATATATATACACACATACACACATACTGGTATGTCTAGTTATACTATATATATGTATATGTATATATATGTATGTGTGTATGTATATATACACACATATGTATATAAATACTCATATATATCAGTTGTATGTAATTTTTTTATGTACATAATGTATACTGTAAATATGATTGTTTTTACAGATCTTAAATATGAAAGGAGGTTATATACCGAAGTCATATATGCTACTTGTTAAATGTTCACAAAACATTTGCTAAACGTATAGAATGAAAGTTGTGTAAATATTTGAATTAATTTTACAGAATTTCAAGTCTTGGAAATATTAAATTTCTTGTAGTACTTCCAAAATATCATTATTCTGAATCCACTCAGTTTCAGGCACTGTTAACTTGACTCGTGGCCTCGTTTCAGGATGAAATACATATACTGTGCATTCTAAACACACATTCTTTGCGTATTTACCACAAGTATGTAGTTTTCCTTTCTTTCTGAATGATCAATTAACGTTTTTTTTTTCCTTTTCTGAAGTCTGTGCTCTGCATAAAGCTCTCCTTCTTTCCCCAATACTCATGAAATACCAGACTGAAACTCATGTATGGGTTGGAACTCATGCACTCTGATCCTCTTGTGGAGGATCATTGATCTACTGAATAATGGGAGCTGGTTTCAACAGAAACGAGTACTTGCTATCTGATAACTCTGGAAACACTGTACTTAAAGAGCCGTCCTTCTCTTCCTCCCCATCCTTCGACAAAGGCATAGTACCGCGGAGAGTATTTAATAGCACAAAACTTTGTGTTGGAGGAATGAATATATTAGACCTGCACATATGGAGCTATTTTTGGGGATAAACAAAATGAATACATGGAGGAAAGATTGTAAAGGACAATCATTTAGCATGTTTTTATATGTTTTAAATTCTAACAGGTGCGTCACATTGATCATATCACTTTCCCATCACAAAGAAACCATAAGTGTGCCCTTCTGCATTATGAACTACAGAGTATTATGTACATTGGTGGGGGTACATATACACGAGGTGCCTTACTGGAAGCACAGGTGAGTCTGAGCATGTGTATCTGACTTTAGGCCTGAGTGTAGTGTTGTTTCCTTTGCAGAAAGTGTGTAGAAGTGTCTCCAGTATTACTTTAGTAGGAAGAAGACTGGCTGGTATTCTAGACACAATGGAAACAGAAACAATTATGACATGAACTAATTGGATATGTTTGGGCTATCTTTGATGGGAATTAATATATACAGGCTATGAGCTTAAGTTTATGAAAACAAGTTATAAATATGAGTGTGTTTTGTTTGGTTATTTTACAGTCCTCTTCAACAGCCAGGTTATGTAGTACTGAAATAAAGATGTGCCCTCTGGAGGAGTCACAGTATTGTCTGTTTTTGGCAAATAGTGAAATTAGAATTTAAGTTAGAATGGGAATTTTGTATGTCCGTTATAGGACTAGGCCAAAGATGTAGAACATGTCATAATGTGAATACAGTCCTTATGATAGTATAAACAGTAATGAAAATCCTATATCTTATCTATCTAGGACACGTAATCAACCTTTTCCCCCTATTACATTAAATTGTGTATCGTCAAAGGAAATAGAAGATATTATAAAATCCTTGAAAACAAAAAATTCATATGGATATGATGGGATATCCACTAAAATTTTAAAAGTTAGCAGTCCCTATATTTCTTCTCCTCTAACTTATTTATGTAATAGAATGCTAACAACTGGCAATTTTCCACTAAGATTAAAGTTCTCTGAAATAAAGCCCATATATAAAAAAGGTGATAAAAATGACACATCGAACTACAGACCTATTTCACTGCTCACATCAATTTCTAAGATCTTTGAAAAGGTAATCTATAATAGAATGCAACAACATATCAAGAAAAATAATATTCTTGCTAATGAACAGTTTGGATTTAGACATGCACGATNTATTTCAGAAAGGTGGATGGTATTCTGGTATCAAACTTTATAACCACCTCCCTCCAGAGCTTAAACAATTATCTTATGACATTCCTGGATTTAAAGTGGCGTTAAAGAAGTTTCTTATCACCAGTTCTTTTTATACTGTTGAAGAATACTACTGCTGGAAGAAAGATTGACACCTCATGTATATATTTTAATCATGTATGTAATTTTAAATGTTATTTTGATTTATGAATGTATTACGGTACAGTAGTTTTGTTGTATTTTGACGATGATGAATGTCTGATTATGTATGTATATTTATATGTTATATTGTACTATTGACTTGTTCTGTATCTGAGGCAGATGCCTCTATGGATTTTTTTGGAACTGTAAATAAATGACAATGACAATGACAAATAACTAGAAATATGTAGTTATTACAGCTATTTACAAAATTCATGTAAGTACAGTATATTATATAATACAGAATGAAATAATTATGTGAAAGAAATATTTTTTCACAAATTTATAATATTTGATCATTTTCAATTGAAGTAATTTCTTTTGCAAAGTAGAAGTGAGACAACATGACATCAGTTGAAGTTGACTTTAATGCTGTTGTATCATGATTTAAATATTTAATGGTTTAATGGTTTACTGCAGTGTAATTTGCAGTATTCCAAACGAAAAATGTTAATATTTTTCATCTAATTTGGCCTCTCTCATTTGAAGAAAATGGCGCAGTTGGAGTGCTTTTGCTCTAAATATTTTAACACTTAGCAATTCTTTCTTCATTAGTACTGCATATTTAGATCTTTGTGGTTCAAATTTGTAAGATATTAAAATTTTGTCACAAAAATATACAAATAAAAACAATACCAAGAGATGATTCCTATGTCACTAGCAACCAGAGTCTTCCTTGACTAAATTTTTCTGTATTTATTATAGGCTGTGCTGCAGTATGGCCGTCCACATTCACGACGTGCCCTGTTTCTCATTACTGATGGTTTTTCAAATGGAGGTGATCCTTTACCAGTAGCACGTGAGCTTAAGGAGCAAGGTGTTACAATATTTACATTTGGGATACGTAATGGCAACACAAAGGAGCTCTATGACATGGCATCACAACCTGGAGAAGAATACTCATATATCCTAGACAGTTTTGGAGAATTTGAAGCCTTAGTTAGAAGGGCATTACATCAAGGTGATTTTTATGCTACCTGTAGTGTATTGGTTTCTAGAAAGTATACATCTCCCTCAGGTATTTGCAAATTTCAGGTAAATGCTGGAATAAGGAAAAGATATAATATTTTAATGTCCATTTTCACAATCATGCAACTGTCAAACATTGTGCGCCTTCTCATTTGTTGGAGAAAATAGTTAGGATTAAAGTATCCTCAAGGAAAATGAATCAGACTACTAGTATTTCATGTATTTAGTATAGTTGTAATTCATGCCTGTCAATATTTTATGATTGGTTGATCAGAAACTGTTAAGAAGTATAAAATAAATAAATAAAGGATCTTTAATTTAAAAATATCTGGCATAATGTTATCTATCTCAGATCTTGAAGTAAAAAAGAACTTTTTGTTAGTATGGTATTTGGAAGATTTTAAAGAAATCATTGTTGATGTTAGGTTGCATTTTAAAAACATGGTTTTTAGAAGACTACAGGTGTCCCATATTGCCAGGAATTTTGGTATATTCATTCAATGTTATAGACAGTGTCATGTAACTTCAAACAAGGCCCTGTATTCCTAGTCAAATCCCTCGCATAGCTTGTGGTGGGAGGAGTTTCTTAACACTCGTTCATCCCCTTTCACCGACCCCCCCTATCACCCCCTTGTCTGAAATTTTTCTTCTGCACATTCAAGGTTACTCTTGGCCTTGTTCAAAGTTATGTGACACTTGCTATAACCAGAAATACGGAATAGAATGTTAGAGAAATAATATTTGTGAACTTACACTGAATGTATCAGAAACAGATTCCTTTTCCCATGGCGAGTCAAGAGACTTTACTTGACATTATTATTTATTATTCTTAGTGGGGTGAGACTGAGTCCACTTGGTACTGTGGCAACTACTGGCCTATTGTACCAGCCCCAGATGATGGTGATTGTTGACCAATTGGAATGAAAATTGGCAGGGGAAACTGAATTTCTGGGAGAAATCCTGTCCCAGTGCCACTGTGTCCACCACAAATCCCACATTACATGACCCGGGCAGGAACCCGGGTTGCTGTGGTGGGAGTGAATAACCGCCTGAGCTATGGCATGTTCCTTATTCAAACATCGTGTAGGTATGTTTCAGTATGGTGTTACACTCATCTACTTTTGTTTCTAGATCTTAAGGCTGGCAGGTATCAGTCCCTGGACAACTCTTCATTTTGTGACTCACTGTGCTCTCTGAAGTCAAACTGCTGCGACAGACTGGCTTCTTGCAGCTGTGGGACTCATACAGGACACTTCTCCTGCCTCTGTCCTCCTGGATATTATGGGTCTGGACTGGCTGCTTCTTGCAAGCGTAAGTCCATTAGGAGAGTTAAGCACTGTAATGTAGGAGGAGGAACAAATGTAACATCATAGCTTTGCATTGTTCAGATCATCATGAGTGTATTCCTGTTTGAAAGCTTGTGAAGAGTTAAGAATCAGATGTCGGTTATGCATACCCTAGATAAATACCTACACTAAAAATATTTATGGAAATTTACAGTATTTTCATACCAGAACTTAGTAATTTCATCTTAGAGTAAATGTGCAAAATCATGCTCTAAGCAGTTCTGAGTAGATTACAGTTGTAAATAAACTTGTTATTTTCTTTTCTTATATTTCTAAGGGTTCACTCCAATAAATGCAGCATTTTCTGCTCCTCTTAGTCACTCAATGAAACATTAAATATGTCAATATATTGCTTGATCAGTCAGATCATGGAAGGAAAAGCTGTTTCTTTAATGTGATGTGTAGTGAGCCAGCAAATGAGTTCTGAAGTGTGGTTTACATATCCACATGTCAGAAATACATATATAGGAACTGGAATGGACAGAAATGACACATATCCATCTGCAGCAGTAGGTTTCTCGATTTTTGATGCTGCACAGTAGTGCAAGACTGGAAATTAGTTGCTAGGCTGCATTTGAGTTTAACATGTGTCCATAGTGGAAGTCAGTCCATGCCAGAATTATTTGACTAACAATGTTTGGAATATCCATAGATGGGCACACATATTTACTGCCTCATTGAATATCTTGGTAACATTTCATTTCCAGTTTGTCCAAATGGAACATACTCACTGGGACTGGTTCCTGGAGATGTTTCTATATGTGTGCCCTGCCCAGACCTGAACCATGTTACTCTTGGACCAGCAACTTCTGTTCAGGACTGTCACTGTAAGAAGGGCTTTGTTTCTAATGGGAACCAATGTAAAGGTAAGAAATAGAATCCTTTTGCTGTATGGTAGCCTATAGGCAGTGCCAGAAATGAGGGAATCAAAAGTAATAGGAGAATGGAAGCGAGTGATCTCCAATATCAGTAGCAGAAGTGTCTGGTATCTTATTACACGTGATGTTTACTGTTTTGTTGCTAGACAGCTCACCAGATCTTTTGTTTGACTGTTTAAAAATTCAACCTTGTAATTTACTTAAGATACAACAACCATTGCCAACATTGTCACTGCTATCACTATGCTAAACTCATCACATTCAGTTTCTCTTACACATCAAAATTAGTAGATTAACGTACACTCCTATATGTGAGATTTAAGTGGGCTTCATCAGTTTTATATAACTTACATCAGAGCAGCCTCCGTAGTCTAGGGGTAACGTTCCCACCTCATGACTCAAGGTACGCGGGTTCAAATCTGGCGGAGGTCGTGGAATTTTTAAGGGCGGAAAACTTCAGGGAACAAGTCCTCCGGGAGGAACTTTAAGCCGTGGGTCCCGTGTCATAGATTTATGGCACGTAAAAGATCCTCATGTCTCTAGAAGACCTCTGAGCAAAATTAGGCAACAATTTCCCGCCCAAGTAGTTTGCAACGCCTCTGGTAGATGGGGGAAATATCAGGTACCGATGGCCGACCTCGTTGGCTGAACGGGGCTGATAGCACGCACCAGTACCGGTAGGGTATGAGGACAGTAGAAATTAAAGGGGGACGCACAATGGACCAATAATTGGTCTAAGTGCATGGGGAAACTCACTCGCTCTAATAATGATAATAATAATAACTTACATCATCTTAAAGCTTTCTTTTGCTTGCAGGTTATTAGCATGCTGAGGTTATTGCAATAATATCCTATAATGAGATTGGTATGCCTGGAAATCTAGCACATGGTTATATTGTGGTTGCTATTGCCATCTTGGGGTTGAATCATTGCCTCAGGATCATCCCTGATACTTTGCTTGAACCCTGGATGGGAACTTGATATCCCAAGGTTTTTGTATGATTTTCTTCAGTCCCCCCTGCCAAATTCCAGAATGGCAGTGAACATTTGTTCACAGTTTCTTTCACGTCCTTCTCTATAGTCAGCTTACCTTACTGTACCTCATTCAGTTGTACATAACCTCAGCAGTTGATCCTGCAGTGTAAAATAAATTAGTAAAATGATAACATTCTTTTTTAATGTATAACATATTTTGCAAACAATACTGCAGAGGCAAGTGTTTAAAAAATTAATTTTACCTTTTCCAGTAATTCTTTTATCTCATGATGTGAGAAATCCTTTTCTTTTTATTTTCTCGCCTTTTTCTAACATAAGCATTTTAATTTAACTTCATAATATTGTACTTTAGCATCCTGTTGCATTACTATTAATCTTCAATGGATAAATGTTTTCACCATCCAAATGCAACGTTTTTATTATTGCCTGAGGATGACCATGTGAGGCCAAAATATGTAGAAGAATGTATGTAGGCTAGAGGGCAAGAATAGAAGCGTTGCATTTGGACTGTGGGAACACATCATTGAAGATTAGCATCATAAGCCTGATGTATGGCTTATTGCTATACAGGTTAAAAAGACTATGCAAATTGTAAAATTTTGATGGCAGGAAGTTATCAGAATATTCAGACAGAATTATGTGTACCAGGAAGTTGGACAAATGTTTTTGAGTAAATCCTCATGAAACCATAACAAAACTGAAGATGAAATTAGCATTATGCCTCATATTGAACATACAGAACTTATAATAATTCATTAGTTGTGATATCATGAGGGTTTCTTTGTTAGAATTTTTCCATTTTACATAGTGTACTCATAAACATCATGATGTGATTTTAATCTCGATCTTCAGATATAGAATTAAGTGAGAAGTGTGATCTTCCACTTGTGGGTAAATGAACTTATAACTGTTTAAACTGTCACTGTTAACATTCTGTTGTTCTATTGTAGTGATCACATGCCCAAAGCTGACTGCTCCTGTGAAGGGCTTCTTTGTGAAGAAATCGTGTGGGAATGTGCTAAATGCTGCATGTGGAGTAAGGTGTCGTGTGGGCTACCAACTTATTGGATCCAGCATCCGTCTTTGTCAAGATGATGGGACATGGTCTGGACAGGAAGCCAAATGTGTTGGTAAACAAAGAGCATTTATTTTGCACCTTCATCTTTGGTCTTACCATGCTGGAATGATCCATGGGTATAAGTAGACACAAATGGTGGTCACATGGAAGAGCATGATGTAGCTGGAGAGATAGTAGAGAAATGTATCACAGCAGAAAAGATAGTTGCTATCATTCAATACTAAATTATGTAACACATTTACTTACTGTGTTATATCAGTGGTTCAGTTTGGTTTTCATTAGTTGGCCTTTCTGTGTTAGAATATGTCACCTGATTTCATTCCTTCTGAGAGTGAATTTTAAAGGGCCTACAGGAAATTTTAGGGTGAGATTCTTTCTTGCAATAAGCTTAAGAAACCTCTAGCCCAAAGCAAAGATCCACAGTGCAGTAACACTCTTTGGGACATGGAAAGTGGGAAACAAAACAGGTTTGATAATAGTCCATACATCCTATTTGACTTTACAATACTTTTACATCCTACATGACCCAGAAAGTAAAAATTGTATTTGTAAAATTGATGCAGCTCTTCTGGTATGAACATGATGGTACGCTCGTACTTCTCAAAAAGTTATTTAGATTTATTTTAATTGAGAAAATTTAATATGACATCTGTGCATTTTGGGTGATGCTGAGACGTTAGGTACACCACCAAGCGATTATGTTTATCGAACATTACATATAGAATTTTTTAAAGGACTCATTACATGCTAATATTGATTTACAGTGAAGACTTGTCCAGCTCCCAAGGCACCTAAGAATGGTGGTGTGGCCTGTTCTAATGATGACCATATTATTGACACCGAATGTGAGTTCTCTTGTTTGCCTGGCTACACTTTGGTGGGCTCCAGACATCGCAATTGCTTACCTCTTGCACGATGGGATGGCCTGCACACAACCTGCAAACGTGAGTCATCTACGTTTCACTTAAATTCGTTTTTATCTTCTGCTGTGGACTGTCTTTTAATATCTTATATTATTAAATGCCTACAAAGAGACCAGATTTTTTCAGATTGAACCATAAATTTAAAAAAAGTTGTAAATTAATCTGTGATTTGCAGTACAGTCCTATATATACCATATCACATGACTTTATGGCCATGGAGACAGAAATATTTGTCTGTTTTGCATACATAAAGGTATAAATACTCATACTATACCATTAATTCAGGACCAGATCTTAGTGTCGGACAGAACACCATACTAAATTTATTTTCACCTTTGGGAAACTCCATATGGCATTCACTGGATAGGAAGGTGGTTGTTGCTCAGTGATGTTTTGGATGGAATGGTGAAGAACATTATGCCACTATCTAGGATTATGCTATGGCCTGTGGACCCATTGCTAGGCAACAAAGCAACTATACAGCGGCTGTAACTAAGTAAGAGCTCCACAAACAAGCATTATTTCCATGGCAAGAATTACATGTCAATAATGTAATGGCGTTTTCTGTGTTGTCCATGCTGAGATATTATAAGCAAGACAGTGAGGGTTAGATGAGTTTAGCTAAGATGAGTTAGTTGGGTGGTGAGTGAGTTAGTCAGATAACTGCTGGGATGGAGTTGTTGTAAGTTGTTGCTGTGGGAGGGTGGTAGCTGAGTCTGGGGATAGTCAGGAACCCAGAGGAAGGGGAATGTCCACCGTTGGAAGCCGCTACTGAGCAACGGCTAGTGAAGACTTGACTGTGGACACTAGTAAGTGTGTAACAGTATACTGTAAACTGTAGTCACACGTTGTAGCAAGGAGTCCAACAAACCCTATTAACAATCTGAAACTTTTCAACAGTTACGCTTATCATGTGACAATATTCTGGCTCTTCAGTCTGTAGTTTTCTTTTTATTGCTAGTGGGGTGGGACTAAGTCCCTTGTACTGCAGTCACTTCTGGCCTATTGTACTAGCCCCAGATGATAGGTGAGGGTGATTGTGGAGCAGTTGGTGGAATGAAGATTGTCAGGGAAACCGAAGTACTCGGAGAAAACCTGCCCCAGTGCCACTTTGTCCACTACAAATCCCACTTGACCAGACCCAGGAACGAACCCAGGCCGCCGCAGAGGGAAGCCAGCGACTAACCGCTTGAGCTATGGCGCGGCCCAGTCTCTAGTTTAGTCACTTACTGAATTACTTGTGGATATTCCATAGAGTAACATATAATTAGCCGGTCACAGTAGCCGAGCGGTCTAAGGCATGTACTGTCTTCGGTCGCTTGGAAACTGGAATCGTGGGTTCGAATCCTACTCAGGGCATGGATGTTTAGTTTGTGTGTGTGCGTTTTTCTGTGTTTGTGTACAGGTGGAGGCCTTGCGACGAGCTGATCACCCGCCCAAGGAGTCCTGCCGAATGTGTAAGATCTAGAAAAACCGAAGTGAATGAAGAAGTTCATGGAGGTAGACCTAAGCCCACTGGGGCTGTAGTGCCAAGGAAAAAAAACAACATATAATTAATTTATCAAAGAGAGCATCACAAAATCACAAGTTTCTATTAAACCAGTATTAAATACAATTGGGTACTGACCTTTAATTGCACTGAAAATAAAACTGCACTTATCAGTACATCTGATCTGTGGTTCACATGCAGACTAATTATTCTTATATCCAAAGAAATGGAAGAGATGTCCACCTTTCCAAAAGTAATTAATGGGCTTCATAAAAAGGGCTTAGTACTTTCTAAATCAGGAATTACTTCACTTATGTATATTGTTTCGTTCAACTGTTACTGACTGATTGAATTCCTATTTTGGGCTTTAGCACTGTTCTGTCCACCACTGCCAGAAATCCCTAATGGCCAGTACACACCAGTGGGTTGTACAACCAGTAAGCAGGTTTATGGGACCAAGTGCAACATTTCGTGTGCAGCAGGATTCCAACTAAAGGGCCCAAAGTCTCGGGTCTGTGGGAAAGTGGGAAAGTGGTCAGGTCGGGACATTAACTCTTGTCTTGGTGAGTTGCAATGTTACGTCTCAGCTTTATTAATAATTAGTGAATTTTCTACGGCAGTGGTTGTCCTGTGTAGTCTGGAGACCACTGGTGTTTCACAGTGTAAATAACTTTTCTATTATATTAAGTTCCAATTAGATTAAAAATAAATGATTTCGTTGAGGTTTGGCTGTTACTTATTTAATTTGATAGCTAGATTTTCACTATAATTATATTTTTATTATTATTATTAGTTTATTTGTTAATTAATATTACGTCTACTTTCTCAGCTAAAGTGGCCTCTGAACCAAAAATATTTCTCGTTACTATTCTATTTACTTGTGTTCTTCTACAGTTCACACATAAAATTTTAGACTATATGGACTATATTGGAATATGTTAAAAATCCAATTAAAATTCTTATAACAGTGACTATGATTATTGCTGTCTTCTGGAATGTGATGCCATGTAGTCTGGTAGATTGTTACTAACTTTCCATATGGTATGCTCAGGAGAAGAAAGCAGCACTTTTCTCTGAAGTGTCACTAATGACACTGTTTCACATCCCGGAAGACAGTAATCTGAGTTCATCTTATTTTAGTAGGATCTTGATGTTCATTTTTGATGGTAGCTTTTCATTCACTTTTTAAACATTGGGTATTGCTTCTCAGATGTTACACCACCAAAAATTCACTGTCCAGAAAACATACTAATGGGGACAGAGCCTGATGAAGATTATGCGCTTGTCAACTGGACAGTACCGATTGCAACTGGTAAGTTAGAAAGTGGAAGGAACATTATAAAGACATTCCAAGAGGAAAGATAAATATTCTGGGAGGTCATAGTATCGGTCATTCTAAGCAAAGAAAGTGTATACATACATGTGTTCTATTTCAAACAGTTTATGAGAGGGATCTATTTCACTGTACAGTTCCAAAATTGTTGATAAGAAAGAGATACTACTTATTGTTTCTGATACTTGAGTTTATTGTTCAAGTAACAGAATTTGTTTAGTTTACCTAGTATAATACATTTTCAAAAATACCACCATCAACATCAGTGTGCTTTGCAACTCGTGTGAGGACATGGCGTGTTGCTCGTCTGTATAAATACAGTGCACTGTACAGTGAAGTAGCTCTACCTCGGAAACCGTTCAGAGTAGGACACATGTACATATACACTTTTTTTGCCTAGAATGACCGATACTATGACGTCCCAGAATATTTACCTTTCCTCCTGGGACTCCTGTATATACATGTGTGTGTTGGTGTTTTTTTTTTTTATAATTTAATTAATCCTTAAATCAGTTTTATCCAGTTCTGTAAGAGGAAATACTTGCTCATGTAAAACAAGATATACTGCCCACTGGTCTTACATACATTGAGCAAAGATATAACTTGATTATTTGTTTATGAAGTTAGTGCTCCAATTCTAGATTTATGCAGGCTCCAGTAACCTACTGGGAATAATAATTTAGCCTGTATTTTCAGCCAGTCTTTAAATTGGCTTTCAACAAGTTTCTGGAAAACCGTACCAGAAGTGGTGGGAATGTCCCTATGTGGCATAAGGATAAGCTAGTCACTCATTATCACTACTTCAGATGTGGAGCCTGGTGATTTGTGGTTGTTAAAGAGTTACAAATTTTAGTAGATAAGTGAAATATTATATCATCTTTCAAGTTACTCATTCACTATTTTCTTGGAGAAACTGGGCATATCCTGACAGCATTCATTCAGTAGCTTCTGTATTTTCACTTTCAAAGAAAGAACTTCAGTGATAAAAGATATATTCAATATGTTATTGTATATATGATTGTACTTTTTAATCGGGTAGTACATAAATTTTAACAAATCAAGTGGGTCTTTGAAATCATACTTAACTTCTGAGCCTTTCAAAGCTGAATATCAGCATAGGCAAAGGAATATCATACTACTGATGAGGATTTTATCAGATTTATTGAAATCATGTAAAACTGAAAGTACTGGCTAAGAAACTATACTCTGTAATCTTATTTGTGTCAGAAAACAGAATAATTTTACACATATTGGTCATTGCTGAATTTTCTTGTAGGTCATTTAATGGCGCTTTCAATATTGAGGTTATATAACATGAGACTATATCATGAATAATGAATTGGGAAGGATTTTGAAGGAAATTACCATGGCCTGGTTTGAATAATTATTTTAGCTTTAATCTGGAGGGACAGAGGAGAAACACAAAAAGCCTCAGCAAGAATAGATGGTGTCCCAGCAAAGATTTGAATCAAGGGCCTACCAAATACAAGTCCAGAGCATTACCCCTAGACTCTGAGATTTATGATCTTAATACTAGAAATAAAAATAATTTTCACCTTTCACTACCAAGGTTGGCAATCTATAAAAATGGTGTTTATTATATGGGTATTAAAGCATTTAATCATCTACCTCCCTACATAAAGGAATTATCAGAGGATAGGCTCCAATTTAAAAATGTCCTAAAAATTATCTTTTATTGAATTCCTTTTATTCATTGAAGGAGTTCTTTGATGGTGAAATTTGGTGTTAAGGATGACATTGACGCTTTCACCCTATGGATGGATCTATGGAATTGGAATTTTACCTGATATATAGAATGAATTAGATGAATATAATTTTATGTTTTGATGAAATATTACTATAAATTTTATATTATATAATGAATTTTTATAACTTTGACTCATGCCTTAGCATACAGCTTGTTTATATTGTATCTGGTTTACTGTTATCAATTGTTGTATTGGAATATTGTCTTATCTCACATAATTTTGTCAATTTTATTAATGAAGTGAACCAGAATTAGAATTTTGATATTTATTGTATCCGATGTAAATTTGTTTATGTATGTCCGCTTTATGCTTTATAATTGTTTGCATGTATGTTTGTTTTGTTTTTTGTTTTTGACATGTTTCAATTAATTATTATAACTTAAATTTTGATCTTGTGACTCATTCTATATCCTATGGCTTGTATTATGCCTGTATCAGGATCAATTAGAAAGTGAAATAAATGAATGAATGAATGAGACCAGTATCAGTATTGAAGTTTTCTGGAAGTGCTAAAGCATGACTTTTTACAGATAATGATGGCCATCCTCCTACTCTGTGGACAAGACCTGTTACTCAACAGCCAATGAGAGTTAAGATTGGTACCATGACTGTCACTTATGTGGCTACTGATGCCAGACGTCATAAGGCCAAATGTAATTTCACCATCAAGATTGAAGGTAAGAAGCCTTCTCCTATAGGTGTACCCTCTCACCCACTAATCTCAACACCTGTAATTCCACTGCTACACCATCATATCACCATTATCACTATTATTACCAATAATAATGAATGATGGTTAGTGATAAGAGCATTGACATTACAGATTCTTGAAATATACAGACAATACGATCAATGTTGTACATGTGTAAAGAGTTTTTTGCTGTTCAAGAGATAAGAATGGAGCTTGTTGCATTCCGATACATTTCGTTTTTGCAGACAGAGAATCACCATTTATTGATCGCTGTGAGTCCCCGCCACCTTTCCTTCTAGATTCTGGGGACAAAGGAAGCCTCATCTGGGATCCTCCACTTTTCCATGACAATTCTGGAAAACCCGTTAAGGTGATCCTTATTTATTTCATGTTACATTTACTCAAAATATTGTATTGACTAAAACTTCAGTTAATTAAAATATGGACAGTGTCTCATTTTCAAGGAAAGCATTCTGTGAATTCTCTAATGTTCTGCAGTTCAACAATATTCAGACATAAGAGGAACTGGAAATTACAGATGAATTACTACTCATGTAAGAAATGGAGAAGAGCTATATACACTGGACTACACTTGCCTGTGAATGAGCAAGTACTAGGTTTGCGGGGATAAACACCATCAGGGTATATAAAAAAAATAAACCCAGGAAGTAGGTTGTACTAATTAAGAGCACTTTCCCAAGAAGATTAATTATTCATGTTAAGTACTGGTAATTATGAAAGGTAGAAAGCCTACCAATCTGTGTTATAGGCTTATCACTGGCAAATTACTTTAGATAAGATACTCTTCACCAAAATAAAGCTAAAATTCTATAATACAACAAAATAAGTAAATTAGCTACAGAAAATAAGAGTTTGAATTGCACAAAGAAATACAGAAAGACAAATCTTCGTCTCAGTTAAATATTTTGATGTAAGAATGTGATTATAGGCCACATCAATCTGAGTAACAGAAGAGGTTTTTCAGTGCCTTTCCTCATGGATGTTCAGATATGACAATGCTTTTAAATGAACCTTAATTACATGATATTTGAGCTTCTTATTATGGTAAATATTAAGATTATGGTCTTCTTGGGTGTGACTCCATGATGTTTGGTAGACAGATTCCAGCACTTCAAAGAAAACTGCTACTTTCATCATCAGTCTAGAAGAGATCTATCAGTCCACATATCATTTTCATCCCAGAAGACCATAACCTCTACATGTTGATTATTTCATATATAGTTGTTAATATTAATATCTGTTCTTCTCCTTCTCTGCTTTCCTCGCCTTCATGATCTCTCATTTATTAATTGCAGAATTGTTATGTTATTTTGAAGAAACAAAAAACTGATTGAGTTTGTACATTATTGTTTCTTGCATGTTACTTTTAGGTGTCTCGTTCTCCAGACACCAACATTTTTCCTTATGGGACAACTGCAGTTACATACACTGCTCTGGACATCTATGGAAATAATGCAACCTGTGTTATTAACATAACTGTGGAAGGTAGGCACAGACACCCTGGAAGGCTGAGTCAAATTACATGCTTGAAATAGCCATGTGAATTAATTCAGAGATTTCAAAGTATTCATAAGTCAGTATTATCACAGGACTTCTGTATAGATTTAGTGAACCCTTTGTCTAACTAGTGAACTGTTTTGATTCTCATGAAGAATGCTGTCTTTTGGGATGTGTTGCAGTACAGTTTGATAGAAGTTTACAATTATTTCCGAGGAATGTACTACTACCTCCATCTTCAGACTAAGCTGCATAAGAAAACAAGAAGCAACAAGTCATAATCTGCTTGCTGCTTATTTGCTCAGCTTACTCTTCATCCCTGAAGATGTAGGCAATATGTTCACCCAAAACACTGGTAAAACTTCTATCAGGCTGTACAGCATCAAATCCCAGTAGAGAGTACTCTTCAGAACCTCAGATTTCATGTACTGTTTGCTGTTGGGTTTCATAGGAAGCAAGGAATTTGTTTTCCAGCTAAGTAGGTCTTATCTTCTGAGGAAGACTCTGCACTCTAAAGGCAGTGGAATTTGAGATTAAGCTGGAAGACTTTTGCAGTGTGCAAGCTGTGCATACATTTTGTGTATTTAGCAAATATGATTTGTTACTGTGTTTCATATTTCCTATTATGAACTACTTGTTTTCTGTATATGAGATTAGTACTGTCTTACAACTTTAGCTTGAGCACAAAAATACATAGAACTTACTCTCTTACAACATACAGCACAAGTGATAACACTGGTCCAATATTTCTAACATGAAACACAGTTATTTTATTGTGGCTGCTGTGTTTTGACTCTATGGGAAATTTGGTTGATTCCACTTCCATGTACCTCTCAGGGAGTGTGTAATAAATTATCTGATAGCCACATATGAGAGAGACAGAGTTGTTTAGCATGGTATTACTCATTATGAAAACATCAGTTGTTGAATGGTGTGTATGCTAGGTAAATTACAAGGTATAATGGTGCAGAATCAAATGAGAAGGAGTGGTCATTCAGAAGTTTAGTAGTACAACAGTAAATATCTTTTGTGGTTGGAAATCAATAAATATTATTATGATGGACAGTTAATTTTACCCAACAGGTATACTGCTGCAACCTCTCCTTCCACTATAAAAGCTACAGAACACAAAATTATAATATATTAAAATAATATCTTATTTAAATGAAATCTTACTGGTCATAATTCAAATCGGTTTCATTCTAACTATTATATTTATTCACTATAAGGTCTTATATAACCTAACACTACTACCTTCATTGGATTTTTACCAAAATGAACTGTCATTCAATTTGTAATTATGAACAGCTCTCATTTCGTTATTACAACAATAGTAAGTATGTTCAAACCACTGTCAGTCAGGTTTCTCTCTATTTATAACATTTTTTTATATCTTATTATGAGAAAATGAGATATTTGGAATCATTTCATTCATAGAGTTCAGTGGCTTGTTTTCTTTTACCTCTCTGATGCTGGCCAGTGGTTATCTTAAATAGTAAGAAAATGCAAGCACTTCTTTGAGTATGGATGTTGAATGTATTTTTCCCATTGTCATAATTTAGAAAGTATATACATTTGCAGTCCTCCCATCTTGTTTTTTGAATTCCAGAGAATGTGTGTCAAGAACCATTGGACCCCATTAATGGGCATGTAAACTGCACTTCAAACATTGATTCACTGCACTGTACCATGACGTGTGAAGATGGATATGCTTTTGCTGTCCAGCCACGTGACTACTTCTGTACATATGACAGTGATGGAAGCCTACTGGCTCCCGACAGCACTATTGATCCTTTTCCTGACTGTTCCTGTTTGTTTGTATTATTTCATATTTATATTTCATTAATTTCACAAATTTCCCAATTAAACCACTTTTTTAAATGCCTTTTAAATGCCTACATCTGAGGATGCATTTTTTTGGGTATGGCTAAATTTTGTCTATTTCATATTTATTCTCTTAAGATTTCTGCACTTAAAATCAACTATTTCCTAAGGGCTATTAAAACTGACTTTAATAGACATATGTTCTATTTCTAGTAACAGTTCTGCCAAACTCCATATCCCAAGATGGAACTATAACAATTGAGGGTGACAGCACTGTTTGTGAAGATCAATCATTTCTTAGTCAGGTATGATGATTCAATATGTAAAGTAAAAGTAAAGGTATCCCTGTAAGAGGCCATGAAGGCCCGTAAGGTTGTGAGACGTTGAGGGTCCCACATTATCTAGACAATCAGCTCAAAGCTGGCGGTAAGGTTGTCAGCCTTACGCGCCAGCCACGCTTTACTCCCCAGGAAAATTATTTAATTAATTCCTGGTACTCATTTCTGTTAGAGGCTGAGTAAACCCCAGGGCCTAGTGCGGCTGGAAAGATTAGGTCAACTGAAAAAAATTCAGTGATCTCATCAGGACTACTCACTAGTAAAGTACTCATTCTTTGCCAATCATGCGTGCATGCACATGTATGTGTTTTCAAAACATTATGTTTTGCATGATTACACTAATTATATTGTGATTATGTAAATGGTGCAAGGTGCCCTACTATGGCTTTTGTCTGCATTCATTTTTTATAATTGACCTTTGGCTGTTGGGTACATGACGATGATGAGGAGGAGGAAGAGGAGGAGGAGGACAATGGCGATGACAATGATGAGAGTCAGTGTACAGTAGTTTTCATTTATCTCTCTTCTGCTCTACTTACTGCATCTGTTGGTAAACTTTGTTACTGTACTTCCTTATGGAAGGTATGGATGTAGTGTACAGCAGTGTCTGATTATTATTGGTACTGGAGTAAATGCAGTCATATCCACAAAAATTTGTACTCTTGAAAACACTTCTCTGTTCACTCATTACTTCACAGCAATGCCACTGCTCACTCACTGCACTCATCTCATCTCTCAACTCCTCTGCTCTGCACTGAACTGAACACTGGCTGACTCACAGACTTTTATAGGCATGTCATCCACAGGGAATATTCTAGAATGTTTTCAGGTAACCTTGGTCTTCCTCATCAGCTGAGCAGTTTCCCAAACATTCCAGACATTATGAGGCGTGCACAGGTCAGGCAATGTGATCCCCTTAGGGCTCAGATCCCACAGCTGTAGTTTATAACTTCTGAAATTATTGTATATAGCGGTAGCATAGTTGGTTGAGGCACTATGCTACAAGCCAGAAGGTCTTGGGATCGAATACTGATGAAGTCATGGGATTTTTTTCAATTTACCTAATCCTTCCAGCCGCACTATGTCCCTGGAGCCGACTCAGCCTCTAACAGAAATGAGTACCAGGAATATTCTTGGAATGTTCTTGGGGATAAAGGGCGTCCAGCACATAGGGCTGTGTGTGCATTCTGTGACTGAATTTATTATGTGTAAATTCGTGACATAGTTTTATGTATCAGTTCACATCTTTGGGGTCAGAGAGATGTATAGTGTGATCTCAGAAAATTGAACTAAAATTAGGACACTAGTATGAAAATCCATCCCAAATATTTTCTGTCACATTACAGATTGTTGTGTTCCACTAGGCCAAATGACATTTAAATTTCTTCTTCTTTGTGTCCTTTTCTTAATATTTAATAATTTTATTGCAGGTTGAGAGTCATGTGAGAGAGAAAATAACACAGCAGTTAGCAGAAATCTGTAGTGATGCTTTAACGTGTCATGTTGAGGACATGGCTACAGTATGTGACCAAATTCTGTCTGGCCTTGAGGAGGAGTCAAATATAGTGATTAGAAAGAGACGGCATAATAGCATACCAAGAAATGTTAGTATTTTGTCATATTATATTAATGTAAATTGAGTTTTTTCGTTGTTTTCCAGTTCCTTTTTTCAGTCATGATTTGTCATTGTAAGCCTTCTATGTATGAATTTTTATAAGCCTTAGACCTAGTTGTCAAAGAGTTAAATGATATTATGGAGAAGCAGCAACATACCGGAAGATTTTGATGCTTGCTGTCATAGGTCAGGACCCACTCTAAAGGAGCAATTAAGATGATGAACATGACAAAAGGATTTGCCAATCAGAGAGTAGATATGAATAAGACATTACATGCAGTGGACTCAACGGGTATTCCAAGTATTCCACATGAGAGGAATTCCATTTTGAAAACACAGAGAAACAACATTGAGCTTCATTTCCGTGTGATAGGTGAGTACATTGTCTTGTACTTCTACTGCTATGAGTGTATTGATTTTAAGAAATCTACATGTTTACTCATCCAGAGCAAATTGAATTTGTCCACTGGAAAATAGAAGTATCCTTCAAAATTGATATTATTCCAGTTCTTGGCCAGACATTTTTGTTTCTAAGCTTTTTATACTGTCTCTTATGAGCATATGTAATTTATGGTATATCACATTATTTGCAATTTATTTTGAAGAATTTCATGGCAGTTGGAATAAGCCCTGGGGATATTTATGCTTTATGTATCTGCTTTGGATAGTTGCATTGATTTACAGCAAATTTTCAGTTTTGCATTTATCTGTGTATCATGCACTGTGTTGAAAGGAAATTCATATAATTCTGAGCAGTGGAATATACTGTGTGTTAACTAATATTAAGTCTACTATGCATGTACCTGCAGTGTTTTTAAATACAGAAAGCTTGAAAAGTTCTGAAGTTCTTATTATGGCCATTATAAGTTGCTGAGTCCCTTAAGGAGTAGACATACAGCAGATTATTGGTTATCTATGAGCAGATTATCCAATTTGTGGGTTAACTATAAGACTTTTAGGTCCTGTAGCTACTTACTATAGCTTGCTGTAATGATGTAAGTGTTGCCCATTTTATCTGTTTCAGTAATATGTATCAGTGATGTTTTACAATGATTTGTAGTAGACTATAAATTTTTTCACTCCTTTTCTGCTTCCTTTTTGTGTGTGTGTGTGTGTGTGTGTAATACCACAGAACATGAGTTGCTTTCTGCTATTTAAAAGATATTTGTCTTACTGTTTAATGACCAGTTGCTGACCAGTAATTATTAATTAAGTTATTTTCAAGGTTTTATCCAGATTTTATTTACAGATCTTTGCTTTATCCATGGATTTTAATTACCCACACTACTACCGCCCTCCATTATCAACAGTACAGCTTTGTATGTTTTGAGTTGATAATACTGAGAGCTGCTGACTATCTCAGTTGATAGAACATGTGTGAGGCTAGCAGCTGGAAGTAGATTAAGCCTAGCTATTTCCAAGACACTATGAATACAATAGATTTTCAAATGTTATACTATCTCATATTTGGGAGGTATCTGATAGTCTTAAGCAACACTGAACTGCATACTTTTTCAGGTCATGTCAAAATGGAGCATAATGAAACAAATCCACATGTTCTACAGACCAGAGTGCACCGAGTGAAGGATGCCATCCACCATTCAGTGAGACAAGGAACTTTACTGAATTTGCCATATCACAAGAAACCATTAAAGGTGAAACACGTAGAGTTCAAGAGCAGACCAAAATATATTTGTGCACCTGGCTCTGTATTGAAAGGCAACACATGTGTGAAGTGCCCAATGGGGACATACTATAATATGACCACTGGATCATGTGAATCATGTCCCATTGGTTATTACCAGCCACTGGAGGGAAGCATAATCTGTCTCTCCTGTGCACCAGGGACAGCAACACGGAGGACACATGCAAAGAATGTGCGGGAATGTCGACGTAAGCGCACAATAATATATGTTGCACAATGAGTTTGTATATGAAATTCTTTATGTAACTCATGTCTGACTTATGCTTCCCATGAGTCATTCCATATGCCTTATAGGTTATGTAGTGAATATCAGAGTCTTCATATGTCATTTTTCAAATGTTAGAATGCCCAGTGAAACTATACAGGAATAATTCCACATGTCTGAAAATGCATTTTGCAGGGACAGGTACAGTATTTTGTACTTTCTCCTCATGAGTCACAACACTGTCCATATTCTTTTCCTGCAAGGGAAATTATATTACTTTTTTTTTTTGCATTAACAGTCAAATCTAATAACATCTCCAGCTTTGGGGTCCAGCAGTCTTAAATTTTTAAATATCAATGAAATTCAAAAGGGCCTAAACAGAAATGTAGATAAAACTGAGCACATGAGCATGAGCAAGGGTGTTATATAACTGCAATAATTTTTGTTGTCCACTGTAATGGGGAAGAGGACTGGTGTGAAAACTGGAAACAGTTGTTAATAGAAAAAGAGTGTGACATGGAGAGTGCTGTGAGTCACAAACAGCTAGAAGAGGACAGCTGTAACATTACAGTGAAACAGTAGTGGACAAAACAAACTGACAGCAAGACACTAAGAGACTGTTTCCGCTGAGACAGTAACATTCTATATATTGATAAACCTTGGTGTTAGAAACAGGCTCATGGATCCAGTACTGCAAGTGATTTTGGAGCAGTTAAATCAGCTAAATTCCTGCCAAAAATAACTCAAAATGGACATTAGAGTAGGGTGAGATGAACTTGGAAAGGACATAAGCCTCTTCAAAGACCAACCAGCCACCTGTTGAGACAAACTGGCATCTGACCAAGAAGAATTAAAAGCGAAATTTGTGTCACTGGGCTGGCCAAAGCGAGTTCGAAGAAAGAATAAGACATGATACATGAAGATTTGAAGGGTGTTATGAGAATGATTAATTGACCACCCAGAATATTTAGAACGGGTTCAGTATGAAGGTATGAAGGTTAGGGTCCAAGTGTTCAAATATTCAAACACCTAAAGTGATAAAGGGGTTATATGCTTATAACAATTTCTTCAGTATTTGGGTTGCTAGCATTGCTAAAAGCACAGTTGTTAATCCTCAAATTCAGAAACCTACTTGTGAATAATGAAGAAACTACTGCATAGTTAATAGAGCATTCAGACTTTCTTAAAAATTATAAAACCTGAAAACAGTAACAAATAAAAATGATATTAAAAATAAAATTATAACATGAATAAATGCATATATGCTTCTTGCAATTCATTCCTACTAATCATTTTGATGTACCTTTGATAAAAATTTAAGTAATATGTAAATGGTAGTTGAATGCAGTTTGATGGTATGATTTCTTTCCTTTATCAGCCCTTTGCCCTCCTGGCTGTTTTGGCCAGAAACGTAAACACTGGAAGAGTTCTGCTGTACCTGGCTTGACCCCTTGCACAACCTGTGACTATGGAACCTACCAACCAAAACCTGGCCAGACGGAATGTTCGCGTTGTCCAGGGAACTGGACGACTCAAAAGAGGGGATCTGTAGACCTCAGTGCCTGTAAAGGTAACTTACACATGGATTGGCTTTCAGACACTGCATAATATTTGATCTCTTTTAGCAATGACATTTGAATGCAGATACTGCATTTATATTTTGGGAGAATTGAAGGCTCATGTGATGGCTTTCTTTTATTCCATAAGGAATTCATCTCCTTGCTATTATATTTATTTTTTGCTTTCATACACTGCCACATGGTTATGAATTTATTTCTAAATCTAATATTTAAAATGAAGAATAAGCTTAAATTTTCTTGTTACAAATATATAGTACTCATTTTGTTTCAAATAAAATTAAGAACATAAATTGCTAAGCTTTCCATGTTTCATGTGTCTCTTTCCACCGCAATGGCATGACATGTCCCCATGCTACAGATGGGAGAAAGAATCTTCAGAAATGAATAGAATTGAAATTAGTTACTAACATTTTTTCTTAAAGGAATCCTTTTATTCAGTAAAAAAATACCTTGAATGATCAGCATAATGATGGATCATACATAGTGTAATTCTTCTTTATATTACCTATTTACAGTTGTGTTATTCCTTTGTATATTATTTTCGTGTTCGTATGTTTTAGTGTATTATATGAAATATTGTTGTGATTGATACAAATAGTGTCTTTGATTACATAGTGTTATTTATTGACAAGGTTGTGTGTTATAACTACTACTATTGTACTCATTTTTAATAATGGACTACTTCTATATCTGTGGTGACTTGTCATCACCTGTATGGATTACCTGAAATATTGATCAATAAATATAATTAAAAAAAATGTATAAGCAGTTGCAGATGGTTTCATGGCCCTTTACATTAAAAGGTGCACTGTTACAAATGTAATAAAAACCTTTATAGTTTGGCAGATTCTTTGAAAAAGTTACATGATGTTTTAAGGACAAATAATTCATTTGGGGGGGGGGATGGTTAGAGTAAAGTTGAAGGAGGAAGTGGGAGAGTAACATCAAGGAAGAACTTGAAGAAATAGGTTCTGAACTGAAATGAACCGACTTAGAATAAAAGCCAGTAGTGGACTTTGGTGTTAGTTGGATTTACAACTTCAATTCAATTCAATTTATTTCAAATTCAAAATTGCTGTTCTATCAGTAGAAACTTACTTTACAGGCAAGACAATTTATTAATTCACGCTACTTTCAAAAAATGAATCTGATAAATTCATTTTGTAATACAGTTAACTGAGGTAATTTGATATTTATTTCTTTGTTTAGTTCATAAATATTTTCTCAACTTCCTCTTTTAGGTCCCTCCACAAAATGTGTTTCCTTTCTCAGCGGTTTTCATAGTTAAGACTTGAAAGGATTCTGACAATGGTGTATGCTGTACAGAACCATTAGGCCTATTTTGGACTCTATCCATCATCTGGTATATAAAAGACAAAAAACCACAACGTTTCAGAGACTAGATCTGTCTCCGTCCTCAGGTGGATGGGGCAGGATAAGCCTACTCAGTTGGACCCATTAGAAAGAGCTAGTCTGAATCACTGGACAATAGTGTTTATTCACTAGCTCTGTGTTGTAAGATATAGTGTGTGTGCTTATTTCTTCAGTGGATTCCATGGACACAAAAGACAGACGGACATGGTGGTTTATCTGCTGGAAACTTTTGAACCTACTTCTTGTTATGGGATGGAATTTGTTTACAGCCATCTGTCCACCAGGAGAGATATCTCATTCAGGATTAGTTCCATGCCTGAAGTGTCCTGCTGGTTACAATCAAGCTCTGGAAGGACAGAGATTCTGCTACAATGAAAATGGAGAACATATTGGAGTGGAATGCCTTTTGCTACCCTGTCTGAACGGAGGATCATGCTACAGCTTAGGACCGGGATTCTTCACTTGTGAATGCAGTCCCGGTTTTGTAGGTAGGATTAAATTATTGTTACTTCAAAAAGATAGACAATTCATAGTGAATCAGACAGACGCAGAATTTCACAGCATCACAGCAGCACTACATATTATATATTAATGGAAATATCTAACTATAATTCATATTATATTTTGACAGTCATTCACTTACAAAGCTGAAATGGAATGAAGGGTGAAGAGTATCTACATCTAATTTTCTAGAGCAGGGAACTTAAAATTGAAACCACTGAGGGGTTGCATTGAACTTTAGACACCTACCTGAAGGCCACATTATGAATATTTCCACACCACACCCAACATACTATGGTAGAAATATCCGCCCTGCATTGATTAGATCAGTGAAGAATTAGTGCATGAATATACAAATTAGACTTATAAGGTTCAGGAGCATATATTTAAATGTAATATAATTAATGATGCATTAGAAATTAGAAAATTTCAACAAATTTGCTTCTGATGAAACAGAGAAAACCCCCACTCTGAATTGTTCTGACGGAGCACTGTGATGAACACTGTCCTTTATGAGAGTAGATACATATGAGTAAATAGGCCTGTGCACTTGTGTCAGTAGCAAGTCAAAATAGATGGGAAAGAGATTCTCTGTTAGTGAATAATGATATTGAGATTTTATATGCGGTACTCAGTGCTTGAGAGAGCACTCTTACATAAAGAGATACTCCCAAATATGGAAAACATCTTTAAGCCAAAGTCTCTTGTGTTCAGTTGCGCCCTATGGGTAAAATTTCAAAGATATCTGCACCAACTTTTGCTTCTATGTTCATAATTTGGATCTACATGTAGATCACCAGCTAAACTTGAATTTCCCAAGGGCTAATTAAATAATTTCAGTTTATTACAAAGCTCATTTACCTGCCTGTAAAAATTACATACTTATATAGTTTGTTGTTTTCCTTGTAGTTTCAAATTAACATCATATAGGTGAGCTGTCATGTCATACTACTTCCATATTATTCGAAGCTACTTAATAGGTGTGTTGTGATATCACTTGAAACATTACATGAGATATTAAGTAAGCATGTTTCATAAGGTGTTTTTTCTTTGCAAAATTCACCACCTTTCTTGAAGAGGAGGAAGATGTATGTATGTTTTAGAGAATGGAAAGATACCCTCATGGATTACACAAAACCATTTGGTTTTTTGGCTTACATATGACAAGCTGGACATCCCTGGTCTAGATTTTGTACCCAGGTTTAATTCATTTGTTTCGTATGTGGTCTGTAACAACTGAGCAGATTATTTGTCATTAAGTAAGAGTCATGACAAACTATATATTAGGAAGGGTAGAGGAAGGATCATATGCTTCATGGTTGAAATTTGAACCAAATACTATGTGAATCTTAATGCATAGGATCATACTGTGAGCTGCAAGTGAAAGAATGTGACTCCAGCCCTTGTCTGAATGGAGCCACCTGTATGGACACCGAGCCATCTCACTATAACTGCTCATGTCTGCCTGGATACTCTGGTCTCAATTGTGAGGTAAATCATACCATTTCTATAGCTTTACTGTGATAAAGGACCATACAGCAGAGAAGTTCTTTATCCTGTTTTATTTATTGTCCTGAAACTTTTTCCTCGTTTCAGAATGAATTGTAGGTACCTTTTATATCCATGAAAAGAAAATAAAGATAATCAATTTACTGCATTTATGTCATGCCATAATTAAGGTTATTGTACATAAATATTATATTGTTGAAGGGAAATCATGTTACCCATTGTGACTTAATTTGGACATAATACTGGCACGTGATTGAGCGACTGTAATCAGGGTTTGGATTGATAATTTGATTTATTGAACTCTTACAGATCCATGATGTTTCACTAATTCACACATTTTACAATTCATTAGAGCACACACTTAAGTCTTCTCAGCCTGCTATGTCTTCACCAATCTTCTGGCAACAGCTTCCAACAGTTGAAATTTCTCTTTTTCTGGGTTCCCAAACTGTCCCCAGCCTTAGCTAAAGCAACTCTCAGCTAACTGACTAATGGACTTACTGACTGACTGACTGACTGAGTGACTCAGTCACTCACCAAATAACTCAACTCAACTCAACTCAACTGACTCTCACTAACTGCCCTGCTTATAACATCTTGACACAGACATCACAGAAAACACTGTTCATCTGTTGCTGTTTATGGGCCACTGCCTAGTAACGACCATTGTCTAGTTGTTTGTTTCACAATCATTGCATAGCAATGGGTCTACATGCCACAGTACAGTGCATTTTGAATGAACAGAAACTTATATGTGTCACAAATAAAAATATAGCAGTTACTTCCGCATAATCCCCAATTATTTGTCTTAACTAAAAAACTAACCTTAGAAATGTAGAACTGCCATATTCAGTCCATATTTAACCCTTCAGAATCTTTCTTCATTCTCTAAAGATGACTGCTGATACTTTTCATGACTTTTTTTCCTACAACCCATAACAGTTTACTCGTAGTCATCTCTTCTTCTGCACCAGAATACAATGATTAAAAGCCCACCTAATATAACAGCAGACTTGCCATTAAATGGCCTGTCCTGTATTCTGCCGCCATATCTTTGTTTTGTAGGTAGAAATTAATGAGTGCAGTTCAAATCCTTGCCTGAATGGAGCAACCTGTATTGATAGTATTAACAGCTTCACCTGCCTTTGCTTGGATGGATTTCAAGGTATGTCCTTCCATTTTGATGTAATGTATAACGTATTTTTGAAGCCCATGTAGTACAGTAAAAGTAGTTTCAGTTACTAATAGAATGTTGGATTTTATTATTATTTCTTGAACTGTAATAGAACATAAATTTGTCAACTTGAATCTTGTTTAAAATATATTCAATGGTAAGAAAATTGGTATAATCATCACAGGAACCCATTGAATATTTAAAATGCTGACATTGTCCACTTGGTTCCTTTTTAACTAAATGTATGGACCAAATTATTCCTGAAGAAGGAAGTGTGATAATTACATATCAGTATTTGATGAACACTATTTTTGGTACAGACAAAGGGATACAAAATGCACGTGTTAAAGCTCTGGTTATTAAAAAGTGATGTGGTTTCAGTCAATTAGTAAAACCTGACAGAGTAAGCTGTGCATGATGCGGTTGTGTAAAATTTATTTTGTGGCTTATGAAGCAATTTTTGCGTTTTAACCTTTAATGTCTGAAGTGCCCCGATCGGGTCAATGATGAGTATGGTCATCATGGCCAAAGTACCCCATTTTGGCCAGTTGGGCATTTAAACTCCGCTAGTGGAAGAGTGCGCACACGCCACTAGTAGAAGCGCATGCACAGTCCTAAAAATTTATTTTTAAATGTAGTAATTATCAGACAGACTTGAGTAAAATCTAATAGAAGAATTAAAATGATCCCTAAGTGAACAACAACAAAAAAGAGTATGTATGAGGTTTGCCCAAACTCATCCACGAGCCAGTACTTTTATTGCAGATTGTGAAGATTAATGTGTTAAAAATATATAGTAAAATTCAATGTACATACCTTTTCTGTTGTTATCTGCTTGATGTATAGATAGGTTGGAATGGAACTACAGTATTCGATTTCACTATGAATGCACAGAAAACAGATCGCACCCTGTATCTCGGCCACGATGCAGCTGTCTGTTCACAACCATGGAAAGGGCAATAATCTCTTGCAGCTATAATAGAAAGTCTTACCACTGAATAAGGAACAGTCGAATTATTCCCTTTAGTTTTACTTGAATAGCCATGCTTTCANGGTATAACTCTTTGTATAAAAATTTTCAAATCTTCCATTATAATATTTGACACTATGTTCTTTGCTGATGCAAACAAAGTTAATTCCATCCATTTATCATAAAAATTGTGTTAGATACAGCATTTTTAAACACAATGCTTTAAAATTGTTTAAGCGTCCTAAGAGGAACAGACATTTAAACGTGCACAGCAGCGGACATTTAAATAAACTCTGGCCAGCTCAAGCTTACCACCATTTCTAAAGTCCAGATTTTAAAGTTTAAAGTGATGTCAGCTCACTGGGCACTGGTGGTTCTACAACCTATTGTTGTCAGCATGAGTGAATTAATACACAGAGAAAATTGTTGCTTATTAGAAGAAAGTAAACTTCATGTTCTGCTTGTCTTTCGAAGCTTGAGAGCAATTTTAGGAACTGCTTTCCAGAACTGACCCATCAGCAGCATCAAAGGATATAAAATCGATTGGTTAAGTAGACAAAGACTACTGCACAAAATGAATATCTGTGGAAATGGGCACCAGTATTAAGCAAGTTAATATTGGAAAATAAAATGACACTAGTAAATTAGATGGGACACTTAGTGTTGAAACACTGAAGGAACTGGTAAAAAGCATCAAGTCTGTGGAGTCAGAAGAGGAAGTGTTATCAACAGATTCCAGTCACAGATGGGGGTTTATTGCCTCTAGAGACAAAATAGATCATATTCAGAGTTGTTCATGGTTCAGAATTTATGAGTTTGCTATAAGAAAACCAGAATGATTACTCTCTTTAATCCAGGTTATGCTACTGGAAATATCTCTTGCTTTCATGCATTGTATTAAAACGCCCTCTTCCTGGTCTCTTTTATATTTCTGCTCTTAAATTAATTTTACTTAATGGAGGAATATTTTAACTTCAATATTAATTAACGATCTTGGTCTTTTATAATCTGGATGCCTAGTAGTATATTTTTATGTTTCATTATTGTAGTCTTGTGTCATATTAGTATGTTGCATTCTTCTACATATATATTTTATAACTGTTTCATTTATTTACTCATTGTGATTTTATTGGATAATATGTGCAATTGTTATGAATTAAGTATAATTAATTTTTATTTATATAATTGGTGGGATTTGACCTGTTGTCTTTGACTGTCTCTATATCCACTGGTCTTCTAGCCATGTAAGGATCCATGGAATGTAAATGAATGCATGAATAAATGAATCTGTGGCATATAATTCTAATTTCCAGTTCCATCAGTATTCTAGAAGACAAAAATGGTCCATTCTCAAAAACATTTGGAAAGTACACAATTCAGACTCTTCTTATTATCACCAACATCATACACCTCTAGCAACTGTGCAGTATAAGGATGTCTGTGGTTGTTCACAGGGCAGTTGTGTGAGGAAAACATTGATGAATGTAGTGTATTTCCCTGTCTTCACAATGCAACATGTGTTGATGACATTGCTAACTACAGCTGTCAGTGTCTTGAGGGCTACTCTGGGAGACTATGCGAAGAAGAACCATTAGATCCTTGCATTAGTGAACCCTGTCACAATGATGCTACCTGCGTTGTTAGTGGTCTTAATTACAGGTGAGATAAGAGCAATCAAGTTAATGTTGTTAAAACCCATAACTTATACATCATAGACCTGATGTTATATCCAATTTGATCTATGTTATAATTAAAGCTGCAAAAGTCTTATTGTCCTCCGATTGCTGAACACATTTTTTGTTTACTTGCATTGACAGATACCTCTGATACTAAATAGTCTTGGGACCTAGTAGTCTAGAGGTATGGAAACATCTCCTGGGCCATTGGGTTTGTGACCAAGTATGAATACTTCCACATTTGATCTACATCCCTTACTCTAACAAATTCAGATCTGTATGGATATGGGGTCAGATTGCTTGCTGGGTCATAGGTCCCCTCTGCCAGCTAATATATTTCTCATCATCATCATGATCTTATTACTCTGGGAAAATAGAATACAATTCTGTGGGTGCTGCAACCACAGAACAGAATTCTTTCCCCTTGAGGAACAAATGTTATGACCCCATCTTGGGTGGCAAATCTTTCTCTTAAACTAATTTATAATGTTACAAGCTAATAATGATTTTGTTTTCAGCTGTACATGTCCCTCTGGATTTGAAGGAAGGAACTGTGAGGTGAATATAAATGACTGTGCTAACAGTCCTTGCACCAACAATGGAACATGCATTGATTTGGTAGCAGGATACAAATGTGTGTGCAGAACATTGTACACTGGGAATCACTGTGAATCAAGTGAGTTGACATTCAGAAATGGAACATGTTTTACCAACTTCATATAATGAAATTAGTTCTGATACTTTTGTTAGGATGCTGGATTCCAAAATAACACTATCTCCCCTCATAATGTACTATTTATCATGAGTAGACAACTGAAATATAATATGGAAATTTTAACTTCAAGAATTATATATATACAATTTATGTAACAATCAATGTATAATTTTTATCACTTACAGATTATGAAAATATGGGAGCTGTTGGACCAATCATTAATTCATACTGGTATATAGTGTGATGTTAATGTAATTAATTTATAAATGTTTCTATCATGTGTGCACTGTCACTCATCCTCTAGGTACCCCAGCTTATAGGCCGCACCATAGCTCAAGCATTTAGTCGCTGGCTTCCCACTGCGGCAGCCCGCGTTCGATCCCGGGTCTGGACAAGTGGGATTTGTAGTGGACAAAGTGGCGCTGGGGCAGGTTTTCTCCGAGTACTTCGGTTTCCCCCTCCAATCTTCATTCCACCAATTGCTCCACAATCACCGTAACCTATCATCTGGGGCTGGTACAATAGGCCAGAAGTGGCCGCAGTACAAGGGACTTAGTCCCACCCCACTAGCAATTAAAAAAACCCACAGCTTATCGGAGGAAGTCTCTTTATAGGTTTGAAGTTAAACAACATTGGTTAATGTTGATGTATATGCTGGTTTCTACAGAGAATTCACCAACCTTCAGAACAGTGTTCTAAAGCAGAATACTTCATTTGGTTTTATGCTGTCAGAGAGGAGGTTACACTGGTGTGGCCGTTACATATACTGGTCTAGAAGTGCTCCCACTGAATAGATTACTCCACTGTATTGCATTAAGACATCCCTGTATCAAATTCCAGAGATAATGAATCTGAATAAGATTTTCTTTAGTTCTTCTCAATCTTGTCTCATGGTTGCTGGGAGAAAAATTTAATCCATTGGGATGCCACTATCCACCACAGACAAACTATTACATGTGCAAAGGTACCATTTCAACTAATAGCTGGTCCAGATTATTGCTGAATGTCAGCTATTGACAGTACAAATGTCAGTGTTTTATCCAAACTCTGTGTACTATTGCCAGTTTTACAGGAACTTTATCAGATTTCATGACAAAGAAGTAGTATCTGTTGAAACAAGAATTAATGCCTGTAAGACCATGTACTATTCATAACTTGTACTCTTCTGCAAGTATAATTAGAATGATCAAGTCAAGGAGGATGAGGTGGGCAGGTCATGTAGCACGAATGAGGGAGATGAATGCATATAGAATATTGGTGGGAAAGCCAGAAGGAAGGAGACCACTGGGAAGACAAGGCATAGGTGGGTGGACGGTATTAAGATGGATCTTAATAGATCCTTAGATCCATAGGGATAGGATGGGATGGTATGGATTGGATTGATCTGGCTCAGGATAGGGACCAGTGAAGGGCTCTTGTGAACACAGTAATGAACCTTCAGGTTCCATAAAATGCTGGGAAATTCTTGAGTAACTGCAGATGTGGCTTCTCCTCAAGAAGGGCATGGCTCCATAAGTAAGTAAGACCATGTACTATGTCTCTGTTTCAGTGGTGCCTGGATGGATTAAAATAACGTGTTGCTCCTTCAATTTACAGAGTTATCCCTGTGAAAATGACATGGCTCTTACTGCATCTGTTTCATTTCTTAATTTTGATTACTTTTTTAATTTATTGGAAGTTTTATAAGGATTCACACTGTATATACTTAGTATTTTCTGAACCTAGCTTCCTGTTTCTACTGGTCTTCTTATAGCAGTCTTCACATTCTGTAACATGAGATGAGTTGGGTAGAAAACACAACAATGAAATCTTCCCTTTGCTGTCTGCAGTGACTCTACTTCTATTCTTATAATAATGATTAAAGTAAAAAAGTAAATGTATCCATGTACCAGGCTGTGAAGGCGCATAGGGTTGTGAGACATTGAGGGTCCCACATTATCTAGACAGTCGGCTCACAGATGGCGATAAGGTTGTCAGCCTTATGTGCCGGCTGCGCTTTACTCCCCAGGAAAATTATTTAATTAATTCCTGGTACTCATTTCTGTTAGAGGCTGAGTCGACCCCAGGGCCATCGTGTGGCTGGAAAGATTAGGTCAATTGAAAAAAATCCAGTGACTACATCGGGACTTGAACCCACCACCTTCCAACTTGTAGCATAGCCCCTCAACTAACTACGCTACAGCGTGCCCCCTTATAATAATGATTAGAATCTGTCAATGATCTTATAAATTCTATTTGAAATTTATGATGTTTAAAATTTTCCAGAAATAAATATAGTATTTTTAAATTTGTTGAAGATATATTGTATCCATACCAGTGTCAAAATTAGTTAAGATACTGCTGTGAAATCGTTAGATTCAGAAATGTATGTGTCTTTGAATTGTATGTCACAATACCATTTCCAGATAAATAGAGTTATGTTTAAAATTACACACATATCCCATGAAGCTGTTCCATTGCATAGGTATAATGAGTGCACTGTGAACCTCAATACTTTTATTAACTTGTCTCTTTTTTTCTGTCAGCTCCAGTGGTATTAATAATAAGATAAAGATTAGTGATAAATTATGAACATAACAAATGTTAATTTGCATTTGCAGAACTTCCTTCAGAATATTTTCTCCGTTTCCCATCATCTGGAACAACAGACTATGTGCTTATGAAGGGTCCACATTCACCCCTCACTCAGGTACACCACTGTTTGACTGTGCTCATTTATGTCTGAGAAATATGCCCAATGTATGAATAATCTATTGCCGTTTCTTACATATACATTTTTATAAGCTCTTGTTCAGAACTAGTATGATGTTAGTTCATCATATAGCTCCAAGTATTGCATAGGTTTCTAGACATGGTACAGTGCCTCATATGCTGCTTGTGTAACTTTATTACACTGAAATTCATATTCTAGATTTCTGTAGAAAGCAGTGGAATAGAGTCCCAAAGTGAGAAAACACTCTAGACTGAGACAATTTAATGCTGAGATAACTTATTTGAGGCAATAGACTTTGAACACTACATGACAGAAAAACTTACGTTAAAAGAACACTGTAGTTTGACAACAGAGAGTATATCTGAGAATATGGATGGTTTGAAATGCTATATGATGTTTTAGGTGTCCCTGTGCTTGTGGCTGAAGTCTGCTGACAGCTTCAACTATGGCACAGTATTCTCATATGCAACAAATATTTCAGACAACAGCTTTACACTTACAGATTATAATGGGTAAGTAGCATACACTGGGCTCCAACAGCAAGTGACATACTAGCTATGCTGAGTGAGGTTCTTCAGATATCCCACTATTGCAAGAAAAATGACAATAGAAGATTTTACCAGAAACATATGTTATCTACTTCCTGTAACTTTCTTGCACTGTACAACCTCCCGGCATTACCAGTATTTTTGTTCACTGCTGTGGGCTGATCACTCATGCAGTTGTACCACTGAATAATTAATAGCCCTGCTCTCATGCTGGCAATGGTGGTAGTCAGTGAAGATTATGATAGAATGATTAGTACTGCTGCTTCAGAATGTTCCATGCTTTAATTCTTGGCCTAAAGGCCTGTTGTCCTGATATATTTTTTGGTTTTATTCAGTTTCTTCAACAAAATGTTGAGGTTATACTCTCCTTAAACTAGACTGTACAAGAATTTTGCAACATAGAAACAAAATACTTCTTAATATACTTTGTAGGCATATAATTGGACACAACCAGAATTTGTGGGGGGTGAGAAGAAAGGGGACAAAATATTCTCTTATAAACTTACATTCAAGTAATTTAAGACTAGTTTTAAAGTATTTTTAATAGTTCATTGATATTTGGTAGATGCATTTAATTCTGTTCCATTCAATTTTGATTTTTTTCTAAATTTGGGGGGTCAAACACCTGATTTGCTCCCGCCCA